GCTACATCACTGTAGGCAGCAGCAACACCCATTGAGGAGGACGGCAGGGCATTGCCACACCACACTGACCATTCCTGTAGGAATATAGGAAGCTACCAGACCATTGTTCCATATACTGTCTACACTGGCTGGCAGTGGCTCTCTGGGGCTTCAGGCAGGAGACATTCCTAGCCCTACCTGAAATGCCAAGGATTGAACCTAGGACCTTCAATTTGCAAAGCAGATGTTCCACCACTCTGCTGCCCCCCCTTCCCCTCTTGTTAAGGACCTATTTGCTACATCTGAATGGCCAGTTCACAACATTAAGCCCTCATCTGAAATCACCTTTCCCTCCATAGGGCCCCTGGAGCAAGATGGCATTGCTTCACATCAGAAACACTTTTTTAAAAAAATGAATTTCTGAGGAAATCTGTGTAGGGATCTAAGCCTACAACAGAGAGTGTAAAAGAGAAAAACTTTGATGCAGATCCACCAACAAATTGCATAGAACACTTAGTCTGAAAACTAATGAAGGTAGCAAATCTAAGGCCTATGGAAGTTAAGGAGACTGGAGGTCTAGTTCACAAAGTAGCAGGTGAGGTTAGGTGATTACCGTACACTCTTCCTACAGTCTGCATTAATGCAGTGGGGGAATCCCCTCACTAAATGGTCATCAGTATCAAAAACTCCTGGACACAGAAAAGTAGACATTAGAGAAATGAGTTGTAGCCTAACTTCCATCATAAACTAGTTTCATTTCTACAGATTTGGCGTGGGGGAGAGTCATTCAGCCATGAGATCTTTCACATGCAGGCTGAAGTGCTACAGACCAGGAACCTCATATGCTCTTTGTAGGAATTCTTCCTTACAACAGCAATGCTGTTGCCATATTTTGAAGAGCAAAAAAGAGGGCACATTTGCCAACTTCTACTTTTAATTATAGATCGTTATGATGGCTCTCATTCTGCATACCCATGAAAATGAGGATGTGTCCTGGAAAAAGAGGACATATGGCAACCCTATAAGGTTCAGAGGGTAAGACTGTGACTGGAAGCATGTGTGATGCTCCATCCCCAAACTGTTAATTCAGTCTCCACTCAGAACCAAGTCACAATTCCTTTAGAGCAGTGGTTTTCAACCAGTGTGCCATGGCAATCTGGGGTGCCTTGAATGATGGTCAGGCATGCTGCGGGCAACACTGGCCTCTGTCTCTCTTTCCTCCCTCCCTCCCTCCTCTGATGCCCTCTTGCATCTCTTGCATAGCTGTTTGTTGCAGCAGCCCTGGCTGCAAACTCTGCAGGCAAATTGTGCCTCTGGGGCTGGCCAGGGAGTGCTGGTTGCCAGGAGTTGATGCAGCCTCAGAGTAAGTAAGTAAGCAAGCAAGCAAGCAGGTGAGGGAGCCCAGCCAGCCAGTCCACCAGCCCTTGTTGTTGAGAATGGACAGACAAATCCCAGGCCCCTTTGGGGCAGTGTGAGGAGACACCTCTCTTTGGACAGGGAGGGCAGATCAGAGCCCAGAGGACTCCCAAGGGGAGAGGAGAGGAGGCTGAGGGAACGAACACTGCACAAGAGACGGTGTTTGAAAAAGGGTGAGAGGCTGCCAGCTCTGCAGGCAAGGGGTGACATAACTGGGCTCCTGAGCCCCACAGGGGTGCCACAGAAAGAACATATGGTAGTTGGTTAAGGGAGCCATGGACTCAAAAAGGTTGAAAACCTCTACTTTAGAGGATCTCTTAAGTGATGTCCATGAAAATAGCAGCATTTGCTTGAAACCACAGCTGGGTTGAAACATTCCAGGAGGCTTAACTGGATAGGGCTTAAAACCAGGCATGGCCAAACTTGGCCCTCCAGCTGTTTTGGGACTACAATTCCCACCATCCCTGACTACTGGTCCTGTTAGTGAAGGATGATGGGAGTTGTAGTCCCAAAACAGCTGGAGGGCCAAGTTTGGCCATGCCTGGCTTAAAACAAAAACAAAACCCAGAAGGAAATTCCAAATAAACACAGTCAGTGTTGCAACCTGAGCAAGAGAGGAAGAAATTGAGTGATTTGGTGATAAAAGGTTAAATAATGCAAGAAAGTAGAGAGTTAAAGTTCGGAATGTCAGTTGGCTCAATAATTTTATATGCCTTTTCATCAAGTAATTAATTAAAAGGTAATATATTTTCATAATATGAAAATCTCAGGATAAGTACCTCTTTTGAGATACTGAAATAGATACATAAATAAGTTATGGTGATGAAGAGGATAATAATAAAAAGCATTCAGATACTACAAGTGCAAGTGCTTGACGCGTTTGACTTCATATGACGTTAGAAAGTCCCCGACACAGAGCTGGAAGGGCAGGAAGACGGTACACAAGTGGTCTTCCTCCTTCTTTCCCCCCTGTGTGTAGATCATATATTCTGAACACAGGATATCCTGGGTCCATAGCCTCCTGTGTGTCTGTATTTGTTCTGGGAGCTGGTGCTGCTAGATGACAGTCCCAGCTTCATTTATGCTGCGTCTCCTTAACTAAAGCTTTCAGGGTCTCCTTGCCTGCATTCTCCCAACCCCTCCTCGCATTCCCGACTGGCCTTTTGCTGCGGGCAGGAAGCCTGTTATTTTGTGACCGCTGATTAGGCGGAGAGCAGCCCCGCCCCCCAAGCCATCCCTGTCCCCCTCTCTGCTCCTAGAGCTACGCTTCGAAGAAGAAGCCCCCTTGCACCAGCCGTTTCTCCCCTCTTGGCTCTTTAAAATAGAGAGGTTGTTGTATTCTCCCACACAGAAGCGTCACGAACAATGCTTACATTCAGCCCATACAGCTCCCTTCTGTGGGACCCTGGCAAGAGAAGAGCCATTCTTTAGAGTGCGCGACAAAGAAACTGCAGCCCAACGGGGCTAAGGGAAGGCTTTGCAGAATCAGAGGCCGAGTTCTTCAAGCCACTGTCTCGGAAATAGGCCTCGCTGTGCAGACAATGGGCTCTGCCGAGGGAAAGAGGGCTCTTGAAATCACTTAAACCGGCCTGTCTGATGGGAATATGTCTAACAGTGCGAGCGACGCTGACGACCACAGTTACAGCCCTATATGAAGCACATCCCTTTGGAGTGGCTGCGGTGATTGAGCCCTTGAAGCTCCGTGGGCCTTATTCCCAAGGAAGGTCTGGAGTGGCCAGACCTTCAAAATCTGCTTGTCGCCCATGTCATTGTGCAGTTAGTAAATAAGACTGGGGAGAAGTGGCCCCAAGTCACTTGTAGATCGTTAACATCACTTGGTTTAGTGGTTTGTTGATGGCAACGTCAGCCACTTGGGGCTTACCACGGATCACTCAGGCAGGGAGAAGGGAAGAGCAGAAGCGGGTTGAGATGGAGGGATTTTTCACAGCTGTTAAAGGCACATACACAGCCCACTTACTTCCGACTACTTGAATCTGTTGCTTTAACACCATTCAGGTTAACAGAACTACGAATTTGGACAGATTCATGGTGGAGAAGGCTATCCATAGCTACTAGCTATCAGGGCTGTGCTTCAGCCTCCCTGTCAGGCAGTAATGCTTCTGAATACCAGTTGCTGGAAACCACAGGAAGAGAGAGTGCTTTTGTGTTCCTGTCCTGTTCCCACAGGCACTAGGAGAACAGGATGCTGAGCTAGATGGACCATTGGCCTGATCCTGCAGGCTCTTATTATGTTCTTAAATACTGAACACACTCGGTATATGACTGGGTCCTCAACAAATAGCCGCCTTCTTTCAGCAGACTTTATTAACTTTTTACTGAATGTTAACTCACAATTTAAAACTCAAGCAGATATAAATGCGAAAAGAAACAGTTCCGCATCAGTCACATGAGGCAGAGCTTGTGCCTGTTGGTAGTGGGACTGTACGTTCCAAAATCATCAGGAAATTTCTCTTTGGGCCAATCTTTTCTAGGTATTTCAGGAAACTTTCCACTGAGCTTTAGGTCTCCTGCACCAAATCAGTTTGCAACCAGCTTTTTTCATTTGGCTAGCTGGTCTGCTGTCCGGTATGGGCTTGGTGGGAGAAGAGAGTCTTGCATGTCCTAAGCAGCTGGTTTAGTTAGTAGTTTAAGTATCTTCATCTCAAAAGCAAGGAGCCCATCCATGGTCTCAAGTTGGGGAGGTCACTTGGGCCATCTCACTGCCCCATGTTCTTCGACCAAGGGCTCAGGGCCAAGGAACTGAGGGTCCCAGGGCAGGTCAAAGGTCTGGGCCTTTGGCTCTCTCCATTGAGGCAAAGGTCTGAAGACTTAACTCTTGGGCCACTGAATTGCAGCAGCAGTGCATTCCCTGGGGATGGCTTAAGAAATAAATAAATGGAAATGTCTGCAGGCTAGCAATGAAGCCAAGTTGTCTCTCCTCCACTCCTTGCGGGTATACTTTCTTTTTTAAGGCTCTTCACTAGCTTGTGGACCTCTGGCCAAATTTACAAGCCAACTGACTCTTTCAGCACTGCCTGCCCCCTCCAGTAAATGTACTTCAGATGTCACTATAAGGGTGTCGTGTTTATAGTTCCAGCTAACCAGCCTGGGACTACCAACCTTGGTTTCCTGCTCCCCGTCATCAATGATGTATATAGGCAAACCACTGGAGGTGGATTACTTACTCCTTATCTCCTTTTAACAACCAGAGGGGTTAAAACAGTCATTTCCTTCCCCCACCCTCCGCCCCACGGAAAGCCTACGAATAAAGTGGAGATTCTCATCTGGGTTTACTGACTACGATTGAGCAACGGCGGGGGGAGGTTGAACGGGAGGGAGGAAGCGCTGCTGTAGGTTAGCGCGAAGCATGTAGCTTAATTGGGTTTAAAACCTCACTTCAATACTAAGTATTCACCTAAGGGTGGGTGTGCATGCGTGTGTGTGCGTGCAGGGCAGTGCAGGATCCACTCTCTGGCCGTCCTGTTTCAGCAAAACAGGGTGTTTAAAAGGTAGCTAATCCGCATGAAGTGGCCTTGAGCATGCGCCCCAAATTGCACGGGCGAGCAGAGCGCACGAAAGATTTCCAGCCAAAGAGGCAGCAGCTGTTAAATTTGTTGGGAGAAAAAGCCTTTCGCCGGGCAGAGGTTGTTCTGTTTTGCTCTCCGCCTAAACAGAACCATGCACCGTTGAAGAAGCAATGCCTTCCTCCCCAGCGAGCGAGCGAGCCAGCTTTGCATCCCTCCCGCCCCTCCCCCCTTCTTAACCGGCTGGATTTGACCTTGGCGGCCTTGGTTGAGGCTGTTGTTTAGCTGAGGCTGCCGCTCAGGGAATATTTCACAGGGTGAGTCTCTCTCCTCCGCCGCCGCTCCTTTCAGCAACTGGTTTGCTCTTTGTATTGCTTTTACCTTTCGCAAGGAAAAACACCTCCCAGGATCTCCTTTCATCCTTGTTGCTGACATACGCTTCCTCTTCTTATCTGAAACCGAATCAAATTATCTGAATTATACCGAATCTTCTTATCTGAAACCGAACCAAACCGAATCAACCCTATTTTAGGGAAACCGAAGAGGAAGATTTTGTTTGTTTGTGGACTTGGCTCCGTTTATTTCCCTACTCCTCCTCCTGATCCCAAGGGCCACCTTTTCTGGCAAGGGAACCCCACCGGCCATACGAAAATCGTGGTTTGCATTGGCTTAGACATGCAAGCGTGCTCCACCGAGCCGGGTCGTCGATCGGGCTGCAAGACGGAAGGAGACAGCGCTGTGTGGCAGGAAATCATTTGATAGGCCAGGGCAGGGGAAACAGCAACAGCTACGAGCCAGTTAAAAAACACAACCACGGGAAAAGCCCCGAAAAAAACACAGCCTCACGTTCTAAATCCAAGAGGCATCTGAAAGAGACCTTTATGAAACAATAGATTGGGGGGGGGGCGGTGTGTGTGTGTGTCCATGACGTGAGCCCTCTCTGCAATAACAGCAGATCGATCCCTGCTTTTTCACAAATGCACCCACGGACAGCATGTTCGATGGTTTTTATATACACAGGCCTCCGTAAAGCCGAGAATGTAAATAGTTGCCTACACGCTGAAATTTTAATGTAAAAGCAGAGCGCCGTATGTTTGGCAGCCTTTGGCTGCCGAGCCAAGAAAACAGACCGCAAAACTCGGGAGCGCGAGCGGATTTGCAGCAAAAGTTGACTCGCTACCAATCGCGATGCAAATCGGGGCTTTCGAGCAAGCAGAGGGGAGGATTTATTTATTTACATGTCCATACAGGCGCATACATCCGTGCGCGCTGGGGCGCCCGACTGCACCGGGAAGACCACGGGGAATGGGTGGATTTACTGCAGCCCAGTGATCTAAGGTGAATGGCTGCGCACGGGAAGGGGAAAGAGGCTCTCGGGGCTGCGGCCCCATCCTCGCGGGTGGCAGCTGCCGAGCCGCAGCAGAATTCCCTCTTGCTTGCCTTGCCTGCTTCCTCCGCGTCGCGCCTGCGCGATGAGCTCCCGAGGAACGCCTGCTCAGGAAGCGTGCCCGGAGCCTTACCCGCCGCTGGAGCGGCCTCTCCGGCCTCTTGCTCCAGCAAGGCATAATGCCACATTAATATGAAACGGCTTGCTACACAGAAAGGCGTCGCTAATTAGGAAATTGATGGGAAGGGGGGCAGGGCGACAGGCTTTGTGAGCTGCCTGTCGGAAAAGCAGAACAGACCGGTCCCTTGTCCCGACGCTTCCCCAGCCCTGGAAACTTCTCCAGGCATCTTGGAGTAGTGGCCATCCGAACGTGCGGGAGAGAGACCAGTGGGCCAGTGTGGCTTTGCAGTTTGCCAGCCACACCCTCGATGCGTGGAAGGATTTGAAGCTCTTTAGGGAATGTTGCGCTTAGATGAAATCCAAGGCCTACTTCTCTCTCTCTAGTGGTAAACCAGGAGTGGGAAACCTGTGGTCTTCTCAGAGGTTGCTGGACTACAACTCCTATTGACTACTGACCATGCTGGCTGGGGTGGATGGGCGTTGGAGTCCTTTCCATTAACATCTGGAGGGCCACAGGCCTGGGTCCTGCAGAATCCAGATAGGGCTTAAGAGATTGAATGCTCCCGACATTTTAGGGTGAGCAGAGAGTTGCCCGCACACAGCAAAGGAGCATGTAAAGGAAAATGGCTAGGTGAGAACCCTGATCTCTGACTCCGTTTTTCTATGTGGAGTGGACTCTGCACAGAAGTAGCAATGGTGGCTGGTGCCCATCGGTAGGGTGGAAGGCAAGGAGGCCATCAGTAGGTGGAGCCAGAGCCAATAATTCCCAAAAGCAAAGATGGATGCATGGATGGGGCCGGCTGTTTATTGGCTTGCCCCCATCCTCTTTCTGAGATCTACAAGGGTAAAACTGAGACTAAGGAGGAGGAAGCTGACAGCCAGAGTCATCCCCTGGGCTAGTTATACACCAGAAGGCTGGCAGGTAGGAACTGGCTGAGAGCAGATTGAGGTTGGTGGGCACTGCCCTCTTCGTAACTGGCCAAGCCAGCCTCCACTTAGTAATCTTGTTGCATGGTATCTGCTTTGAGCAGGGGTTGGGTCAGATGACCTTCTGTTATTTAATGTGAGCCCCCACCAGACCTCAAGAGATGCAGCTCCGACACAGGTTCAGCACCTCAATGAGAACTGGGCCTAAGCCATTCCTCTTTAATAGGGTTCTGACCCTCTGCTCACTTTGATGGAATGTAGACACCTCCTTTGCTGAGTTTGCATGTCGTTTCTTAGACCTCTTCAGATTCTTTGAAGCCCTCATTTTCTTGCCTACAATTGACTCCTCCCTACAACCTCTATTTGAAAAAAAATAAATAGAAAAAGCATTGGCATTTGAGAGATGATTTACTATGCAGTCCTCAAACTGTTGGACCAACTGTGCTCACACTTTTGCTGACTTATTTGCACTGATTTATGCAACTGTGGACTGGCCTAAGCAAAAATATATCACATTTATATGTTTGTAGATCTGTCTAAAGTGAATGTCTACATTATTAATACATTTTGTTTTAATTATCAAAAGCTCCATGTCAATGAGAATGCATTTAGACAGGCAGTTCACTAACTACTTAGGATGCTTGTGGGTTAGAAGGAAACTTTGAAACACTTCAGAACTAAACTTAAGGCAGCAATATGACCTTTCATAGATCCTTTACTCTGTCTTCATCATTATGAAACAATGGTGTTACCAGTGAGCATCTAAGAACTCCAGTTATGTATACTGGCAGCTGCCAGAATGCCTTTGGCTAAATTCTTGAGAAGGAAAGAACAAGAACAACAAAAGCAACTGGCTTAAAAATGTTTAGAAAATGATGACCTATCAAAAAATCTTCAATACAATATCCATCTGTATTAATGTCCAATTGTCAGTGGTTCACAGTGTGTCTAGTGAGATCACCTTTCCACATAGTATATTTAAATTTCTTTTCTGTAAAAGTTATATTTTTATTGATGTATGCAAAAATCAATAAATGTTATTTTAAAAAATAAATATGATCCTGCATCTGTTATAATCTGAAGAAGGTACTCTGCAGCTTTCTGCTTTATTGGCATTAGTGTTTTCCATTTGCCAAGTTGTTTTAATCCTGCTGAACGTTTCTGAAACTCAATAGATTCCTACCACATACAAGCCAAGTCCCTAAATGAGTACCAATGAACTTTTGTGGCTGGGCAGACATTTCCATAACTGTGACAACTAGAAGGGGAAATTGTAATCTAATTTGAAACTAATTTGTCCTAAATTTAGCATGGGATATGGGCCTCTGCTAATGCTGATCTGGTGCCACTGAACTTCAGGGATGCTGGTCTGCTGATGTGTAAATAGGGGCTTGCATCCTGTACATCAGGTGTGGAAAGCCCTTTTCTGTAGAAGACCACATTGGCTTGGGGACAATCTGTTGAAGACCACTTGCTTGAGGTGGGTGAGGCTGCAGCCAGTGGTGGGCAGGGCCAAAGTCAGAACCAAAGTGGAAGAGGCACCCCCTTCTCACCTTTTCTACCACCCACCTCTCTCTGTGCCACCCTCTTTCTTCCTTCCATTTCCCCTTCCTTGGCACCCTCATGAAATTAGTTGGCACTTGGGCTGCAGGCTGTCCTCTTCTGCCATGGGTGAAAGTGCTACATGAAGGGGGTCCAACTGAAATGGGTAAAATCCATAAACCAGTGTTGTTGAAATTATCAAAGCACAAGGGTTTAACAATGCACTTAATTTGCATTATTTCAAAGGTCTTAAAAACAAGCTGAACTTTCTCTGAACTGTGGCTCTTTCAGTAGAAGTAAGTTCCATTCATCTATTTCTAAATGAATGTGTTTATGATGGGACACCAGATTGTAAAGGAACTACTTACTTCAAAGCAGTTCTGTAGGTTTAAAAATTTAAGAGTAGTCTTGATTATGGATTGCAGACACAGCTATGCTTCCCCTGCTGCAGTGTTCTATTGCAGATGTCCAGAGAGGAGACAGATGCCCAGAAGGATATATATGGACACGACAAAGATGGGAGAGAAGACAGGTTTTGAATACATGAGTAGTAGAATATTGTCATTTGAATGACAAAAGGAAGTACAGGAAATATGAGACTCTGGTAGCTCAAGAAGGCCTTGTGCAATTGAGTACCAAAGGGGGATATGGCTTCAAGTAGTCATGCAGGGTATCAAATGAGATGAAGAGCCAAATTCTTTACCCATAATATTGCACAAAAATGACAAGGTTACCTGAATTTTAAGCCATACCAGCCAGCCAGCCAACCAACCATAATTACTGCTAGATGTTCCTGTTAGCATCACTAAGAAAAAACAGTAGGCATTATATACTGCCCCCCCTCCAGGGTGGTATTAATAGTACTTGGTGAGGATGCAGTTTAGATCAGGAAAACAGTGTAGGGAGGCAAAACAGAAGCCCCTGTCAGTTAGGTTGCGATTCACTATCAGTTGAAATCTAAGGCCCAAAACTCAAGGGATCTAAAACATCCAATAATCAAGCCAGATTAAGATTGGTTGGCGCCATTTTAGGGGGTGCACAAGAAAACATGACTGTTTATAGAATAGAGATGCATAAGTCTGGTTAAAGGAACCAACATCTGGTGTCTATGATGCCAGCACTAACGTCCATTTTTCAGCCATTTTATTCATCCTTCTATATCACCGCAATGACCATGTGAGGTAGGTTAGGCTACCCAAGGCAGGAAGTGTGCAAAAACAGTGATACTGTGTTAAGTGAACATGGTTAGAGTACTTTCTTTTTGTATTTTCTCCTAGTGGTGGTGGCAGCTTGGGAAAGGGCATTCTCTGTGGCAGCCCCTTAATTGTGGAACTCCCTTTCCACCTTCATAATGCAGCTTTCAGCAAATGCTGAAGATGTAGGTGTGTTTTTTTACCATGGCTTCTGACATTTGATATGTATGTTTTCCAGACCCACCTTCTTTTTGTAAGTTGCTTTAAAAAACCTTAAGTTGTTGTAACCTGTCCTGAGAGCTTTGGGTAATATCACTGTAATGATATCTAATTATTATTATTGTCATCAAGGTTGGCAAAAAAAAACCTGTTTTCAGCTGGCTGCATTGTTAAATGGCATGTGCTGAGGTGTTGTAATTTTGTTGTTGTTGTAAAACTTACGACATTATAAGCATGTTAGTGTTTAGGATACCACAATACTTTTTTGCAGTACCTTATTTCACACATTCAGTTTGAGGGAAGGGGTCCCTATTTTTGGGACTGTACCCCCTTAATCCAGCCATGCCTACAAAGGACAGGGAATGAAACCCTGGAAAGCTGTTGCCAGTGAGTGTAGAACAATTCAGTATAAGGAAGCTTCCTACAAATACCATCTTATTTATTTATACAGTCAAGTCAGTCTGCTGCCCTTCATCTGAAGATCTCAGGGTGGTTCACAGCATAAAAATACAAGATAAAAACACAAAATACATAATAAAAACAAGTACAAAGCAAACCAGTAACTCCCCCATCCCACAAACACATTTTAAAAAATATAGTATCTTAATCAGCAAAAGGCCTGGTTGAAGAAGAATGTTTATGCCTGGTGCCTAAAGGTGTACAGTTGTACCTCAGGTTAAGAACTTAATTCGTTCTGGAGGTCCGTTCTTAACCTGAAACTGTTCTTAACATGATCTGTTCTTAACCTGTTTTTAACACTTTAGCTAATGGGGTCTCCTGCTGCCACTGCACCGCCGCTGCACAATTTCTGTTCTCATCCTGAAGCAAAGTGCTTAACCTGAGGTACTATTTATGGATTAGTGGAGTCTGTAACCTGAAGCATCTGTAACCTGAAGCGTCTGTAACCTGAGGTACCACTGTATAATGAAGGAATAAAAAGGCCCATTCTAGTGCTGCCACTCTCCGAACCTCTCATGGAGGAGACACACAATGAAGGGCCTCAGATGATCATTGCAGGCCGGGTCTGGGTTGGTTCATATGGGAAGAGGTGGTCCTTGAGGTTTTGTGATCCTGAGCTGTTGTAAGGTTTTATGGGTCAGAACCAGCACTTTTAATTGGGCCCAGAAGCAAATTGGCAGCCGACTTCCGGGGTGGCGCCATCGGTAATGGCGGATTCCCTCTGATCTGGAGGGACCAGCTCCACGGGAAATGGGTCTTTTCCGCTATGGTGAAGCGGGGACCCTTTCAAAAATCACAGGCGGATGAAGCCTGTGACCATGGGACTCGGCGGGCACCTTTAGCGCCCCCCCAACCCGCAAAGGAACCCACTAACGGGCTCCGGAGCGAAGAGGGGGAAGTGGCGCGGTGCTGAGAGTCAATTGCTTCTTCCGTGGAGCGAAGCCGCACAGCTGTTGCCGGAGAGCGCTGCCTTTTTCCTGGGACAAATTGGCTTTTAAAACAATCACCCGTGAGTACTTAAATTTTGGACAATTGGACTCTAAATAAGGATTTGCGAGTAGAAAGGAAAATTGGACTTAAAAGTTTATTTCAATTTGGCACTGAAACGGGAAGGTCTAAACAGGAAGTCAGCCTTCCGTTTCTTTGTAGATAGATTAAAGCAAAGACATGGCAAACTAGAGTTCAGAAAATCGCTTGTAAAGGATTAAATTTCATCATTTAAAATTGTTGAACCCCCTTCGGAAGCAGGAGAAGAGGGGGGATTTTCTTTTCTGGACTGTTTAAACCTGCAGAAGTGAGTGTAAAGCAAAGTAACTTTCCACCGTCTTGATCCTGGAGCGGGGTGTCAGGACTGACGTTTTTTGAAGCTCATTGACCAGAGACAAACGTTTTTGACAGATAGCTAAAAGAAGAGAAACATAGTGATTCCATTGTTCCCTTTCGCACTTTAAAGGAACAAATATTGACAAAATATCTGAAAAAGGAAACTTTGTTGTTAGATCTGTCTTTAAAAGAAAAGAACAAATAGAAATTTTTCCCTAGAGGAGCCTGTGAAACTGTAACCAATTCTGAATCGGGAGCTTGCAGCTGCTACAGATTACGATCGTGGGAATAGACTTCTGACCTTGCAGGACAATGTATTCAGAAGCTCTGCTGTGTGCTTTCTGTAAAACAAGTGCCCTACTGGAACAGCTATATGAGAAGACAGACTTCATGACTGATGCGATCAGAAATTTTGGACAGGCAGTGAGAAATTATATAGAGCCCACCCAGGAATCAAATCAGGAGTGTGCCCTGACAGAACAGATGAGGGAAGAGGATATTGCTGAATCTTGGGCGCCAGAGATGGAGGGAGCTGTGGCCCAGCAGGAACATGAGTTCTTGGATTTGACAAATGAACTTGGAAAAAGCCAGATTTGGAAAGCTAAAGTTTGGTTTGGTTTGGAAATGGGGGGTTGGATAGACCCCCCCATGCAGGGATGTTTGGACTTTTCAAGTCTGGCAATGGGCCGTGAGATGTTTGGGGTTGTGGGGGCTCTTAATTTTGGAGGGACTTTGAAACATGTTCTTAAATACCACATGGAGTTTAGTGTGGACTATGGAAAAGGGGCTGATTTGTCGAGAAGGGTCAAAAACATTGTCAAGCTGGAGTTCCCACGAGTGAAAGGAGCAGGAGACAAAGGAAAATACAGCTATAAATATGAAGAAGAGCTGCGGAAGGGACATGGAAGGGACTTAAGGGCCTCGGACATAAGATTACCAGGTTAATGCGCTAGATTGATGGGATAGAAAGGACTGACAAAACCCAGGACCAGGAGGAAGAGACGCTGGATGAAGATTGGATTGTTTTTTATTTTTTTTTATTAGGACTGTTTTATAAAATTGATGAATGTTAGAAAAATGTTGGAACTAAATTATTTGGCTTTAGCAAAAATGTTTAAAGAATTATGTAAGAATATTATGGTTATGAGAAATTGGTAAAAATAAGATCAAAGTCTTAAGCTTTAAGGTTTTTTATAGTAAGATAAGATTAAAATAGATTAAGGTAATGTAATGGCAGAATATTATGAAATATGGAAAGGATTTGCTGCGACAATTAACAACTAGGATACAAAAAAAAGGGAGGAGGAGGTCAAAGAAAGAAGGTAATGACAGTTAAGGATTTAAGAATGTTGGATTTGTTTTTAAATGTTTGTGGTATATTTTTGTCCTTTGATCGTGTTGTGCTATTTTTTTATTTTGATTTCTATTAATTTGTATTGTTTGATTGTGGTTTGTTTTTTCTTTTTTTCTCTCTCTCTTTTTCTTTTTTGTTTTCTTTTGTAATTCTAAAATTTTCAATAAATATCATTTAAAAAAAAACCAAACAGAAGCAAATTGGCAGCCAGTGCAATCAGGTCAGAATTGGTGTAATATGTTTAAACTGTCTTGCCCTTGTGAGCAACTTGGCTAGCTGGCAAATTCTGCACCAGCTGAAGTTTCTGAACCATATAACACATTGCACTAATCTAACCTAGAGGTTACCAGAGCATAGACAATAGTAGTTGGGCTGTCCCTGGCCAGATAGGGGCATAGGTGGGCCACCAGCCTAAGCTGATAGAAGGCACACTCACAATAATTATACTACACAGCTTTTGTAGAGTGTATCTTTCAGACTGTAGGAGAGAGATACAGGTTTGTGGTAGGGGTTGATCCTTGACACCTGGGTCAAAAATCTAGCCTTCAGCCTACACCCATCAAAGCTCTTCAGCCAGCTGAAACACCTCATCATCCAGCACCTCTTTCAGCGCTGTTTTTCTATCTCACATACCCTTCCTCAGTTTTCTCTCCCTGGTCTCTTCACCATCTATTCCTGCAGCTCCCAGCTCCCTATCACTAAATCCTTTCTCACGTGCCTTTTCATGCTCTGCAACATCCTCCCACCTAATCATCCCAGACAATTAGCACTGCCATCTTTCCTTTCTGATTCCAGGCCACAACCATGTCATATCCCGGCAGTAAATGCTGGCAATTTGCAAGCTCCGCAAGGCCACTCTGCTCTTCTTCACTTGACACAGTCCTTGACACTTGGGATGCATAGAGGGAAATGAGAGTATGATGAAAGAAGCATTTGCCCAGGCCATGCAGAAGCAGCCTTGGTGAATCAGCTCAGTCTTTTTTATTGACTCATATCGGTTTTGAAAAAAACTATGTTTTGAGGGAATTTCACAGGATACTATAAAATTGGGTGCAGCAATCTCCCACCAAATCTACTTATTTAATAAAGCATATTTATTTTCTGTCTCTCACTGAAGTCCTGATGCATATTTTCCCCCACTGATGACAATGCAGCCTCACCAGGAAGAAATAGCAAGAATTAAAACTGACCAATAAGCAGCTAATCTCACAGTTGTGGGTTCAAGTACCACACTGGGCAAAAGATTCCCACATTGCAGGGGGTTAGACTTGCTGGTCCCTTCCTACTCCACAATGCTATGATCTCATGTGTCAAATGGGATCCAATAAATGTGCTTAGGATAAGGAAGCAGTCCAACAGATGGTACATTCCAGTGCAGGCAAGTTGCTTGACAATCAAGGCTTCTAAAACCAGTGGACTCCAGTGGTCTATTAGAGAAGCTAACAATCTCATCCACAACTAAGAAAGAACTCCAACAGCCACAATTCTAAACATATGGAAGGCAACAATATTCACAGGAACAAGAGGTTCAAGCCTTATCTGTGTGATTTACTTTGCAGGTACAACATATGCTAGGATTTGTTTCCTTGTTTATTTGAGCAAGTATTTTTACATTGCCCTTCATTTAAAAATCTGAGGGAGTTTTGCAGTACATAACAATAAAATGGCACATTAAAAGCCAACACATATAGTAAAAGCAGTAACAACTACAGAAGACGGACAAATCTCAATAGTACTGGAATCAATGACCAGCAAAGGTCTGAGTGAACCAGTAGGTTTTCAGAAGCAGGACTGGGACTGGCCCTGGGATAAATAGCAGCCTGGGTGTGGAGTGCCTTCAATGTCCAACCCCCCCCCCACAGCCATGGTCAGCTTTACAAGGCCACCCAGAGGGTTTATGGGACTCGGTACTGGTGTGATGTTGGGATCCCTGCTGATGCCCCCTGCAAGGACCCATGCATGTGTGCACAAATGTGGGAGTCTACATACAAGAATTACTGCATGCACAAGCTGCAAATTCTCACCTGCAGATCTTCCTTGCCCTGGGATCAAGCAGAATGACAGATGTGCTTCATTATTATTTTTTTATTACATGGGAGTAAGGGAATAGGGATTAGGTTATACTTCTCCTGCCTGAGTACCTCCTCCAAATTCCAACCTCCTTGTGGCAGAGATTTTTTCTGCTTCCTGGGGCTCAGTCTCACATGTCTTCTGGTTCTGGGCTGCTGTTTGCCTTCTCCACTACTCACTCAGGAAGGATTATTCCCTTAAGGCCTGGCCTCACAACACTCCTACAGCTTTCCTGTGGCAACTGCTGCAGAAAATTACTCTCTGGTAGCACCTTGCCTTGAAATCTTAGGTGCATTCACTTACCATTGACAGCCAATGTTATGCACAGGACCCGAAGCAGGGGGCCCCTAGCTTTCTGCATGCATGGGGCAATTGCCCCATCCTCTGAGCAGTCCTGTGGCTTTCTAGTGCTACCAAGTTGTATGGCTTGTGCAGAATTGCAAAACATATCAGTGTAGCAGGCCTACTTTCAGACTTTCCCCCAACAATATTTGTGAAAGGGCCCAGACTCAACTTCCTATTTGCTGTTCTGCTTTCAATGAACTCTTGCACCAGTTCTAGAAGCCAGGGCTGACCCAAGGCATTTTGCCCATGCCCTGATGTCAATGTCACCCACCCCACAGATCTAGGTTCTCACCCAGTCCCCTCCCTGCCCCCACACTGCTGCCACCCTGTCAACACAACTGTATCTTCACCTGTGACTGCCCCCATGACACAGCGGCAGTGGTGATGATGCAGTGGATGTCGGGTCAAGGACAATGATGCCTTGTCGGTGCAGGAAGCCCCAGCAGGGCTGGCAGCAATGCAACAGCAGGGGTTGGATCCCCTGCCTGAAATGGCTTCACCTGACCTCATGCATGAGCTGCCCCTGCTGGATCCCAATGAAGTCTCTGCCATGTGGTATGGTGGCTCTCAAATATTGAATCTCATGGGTTTTTAGGACAACATTCTTCATTTTGTTCAGCAGGCACACAATGTGGGGGCTGCTATAAGTTCTCTGCCAGCTCTAAACATTCCCTCCTCAGCTACAAGAAGCAGGCCCTCTTTTGGAGTAGTATAACAAGCCTTAAAGGAACAATATATCATATACTACAGCCTCCTATGCTGTACTTTCTTCTTCAGTCTTCTTCCCTTTTTGTTTTTCAATTTTGAACATTACCATTGCCCCAAAATATAGAACTGTAGCAACCATGTGCCGAAGCCAGCCTTGTTTTACTGTTAATTTTGTTTGTTTTGTAGCCATTCCTCTCTTTTGGTAAGCTTTCTTTGTTTTAGAGTATCTGTTTTGATATCTGTAAAAATAATGGAGAAAAGCTATAAACCAAAAAGGTATCCAGCTGACCTCTTACAGCTTACGTCTTGATTTTATTTGTCACTTATATAGTGCTTATAACATTTATAGTATTTGAAGTGCTAAGTGCTTGGTAACCTTGCCTCAAAGTAAAGCTGTGTTCCACGTCTTTTTGCCTAGCACAAATAACATCAAAGTGGAAATTGGAAAAGAAAAACACATTAAAGCTAACTGAAGGAAGATCATTTTTGTAGTCGGTAGCCAAACAACTTTGAGAAAAAGGCCACTTGCATTTTGCCACCCTGGCTCCAAAAGCTCAAAGAAGTTGGCCCCTGCTTTATTTTAGGGGGGAGAAGGTTCCATGAGCTAGGTGCCCTAATAGAAAGGGCATTTCGGGGAGCCATTGCTCCTCTCATGAAACACCCACTTAACATGAGGCCCATTAAAAGTCTTGAGCAGCACTGAGCTGAACTGAAGCACTTAGCATGAGAGTATAAACATTTTGTTTGTTTGAAAATGCTACAGTCCTCTTGCAGAACTGCCTGCGTAGGATCAGGACATTTCCTTTGATTTCAGTGGAACTTCATTCCAATTCTGGATTAGCAGTCTCTGCTGGATTTGCCTTCTTTGGAGCAACATGCAGGGATTGGGGTCTGCTTGATTCTCTCTTCCTTCAAACATGGAACATAACTTAACCAAAAGGAAACACGGGCCAATTGTTTCCCCGCTCAGGCCAAGAGCCCTTTCGACAAAAATCAAAAGCTCTAACGAGGAAACACGCAGCTAGTTCTATGCTTTATTCCGAAGAGGACCATCTCTTGGTTCCCCCCGCCTTCAATATTGGCCGCCCCTGTCTCCCCCCGCAGTTCCTGTGCCCTTTCTGGTTGCCTGCCTCTCTCTCTGTCTCGTGAAACTGACTAAGCTTGGCGCTGCCAGGCTTTGCATGTTCGTCAGTTTCACTCGGTGGCCACCAGCACAGGCGGTGCGGCAAGGAAACACAAAGCGGGGAAGGGAGGAGGGGGAGAGAGAGAGAGAGAGAGAGGCAGGGAGCGAGCGAGCGAGAGGAAACAACAGCCGGGGGGGGGGGGAGGAGGAAGAAGAAGAAGAAGGGGAGGAGGGAGGAAGTAGGAAGGAAGGAAGGGGGGGGTCATCTGGCATCGCTGAGCAAAGGGGAAGAGCTGGCTGCGAGCCGGGAGGTTTATCACCTCGCCCTTGGTTGCGCTGGAGAGGAGGCTGAGAAAAGTTGAGCCTTCCTGCCCGCCCTTCTCCTTCCCCTAAGCCTCGAGACGCGAGCGAAGGCAGCCTCCTCCAGCTAGCCGCATGTCGGCGGCAACTCTCCGCCACGAAACGACTGGCTGATCCCCCCTCTGCTGAGAATAGCGTTTAACCGTTCATGCATCATGTGTGTCAAATAAATGCCTGATTGAGGCCCTCAGCGGAGGAATTAGCCTGCCTTGCGCTGCAAATGCACAAGAGGAAGGAAAGTGCTGAGGCATCCTTGCCTCGCCGTTTAGCCACGTTCACGCCAGGCTTTCTGATTGCTCCGGTGCTGTCGCGGATTTTCTTTTTCTCACTCCCGCAGACGCATTTTTTCTCTCCCCCCACCTCCCCCGCAGAAGAGGGTGGGAGAGGAGAGAGAGAGAGAAAGGGAGGGAGGGAGGCAGCTGGGTCACAGGAGCGTCAAACGAGGCTGAGAGACAAGCTCCGACGGAGCGCTCAGTTTAATTAAACCAAACAGCATTCCCGAACACTGCTCTCGGAGTCGGAACATTCAGCGCTCAACCAGCCCCCGGGTTTTTGTTTGCTTGTTTTACCTCCTCATCCTAACCGTTTGGATGAAAGGTCCCCTTGATCTGAATGAGAGCGGTTTCCGACTGCATCTGTTTCGGGTTTGGATGCAATACTTGGCCAAATGCCCTTGGCTGGACCCTATAGGTTTCAGACTCATGACGCAGGCAAACCCTCGCGTTTTAGGTTACGTCTGGTTCAGGTCACAGAGAAGTCGCCGGGACGCAAAGCAGCTTTAATTCTGGACAGGGTTGTGGGTCTCTAGCCGATGGGCAGACACCAAGAAAAAGGAAGAAAGAGGTGGACGTGGACACTTCCTTCTCCCACCTCGACCTGAGCTGTTCCCGAGGGGAACCCGAGGACCAGGACTCGCTGGGGCTCCTCCTTGGCTTTCTAGGCCACCGCTATCTAATGCAACAGACTTCAGGCCTCCATCTCTGATGCCCCAATAAAGGTCAATGAGGGTGGAGCCACTGAGTTGAAAGAGGCGTTTGTGTAGCCCCCAGCCCCAACAACAGGGACACAGGAAACGGCCTTATACCGAGTGAGACCATTGGCCCGCCTAGATTGTGTACAGTGTACACACTGTGTACCTTTACAGTCGAAGCATATCCTTTCCCTCAAATGATTAGGGGCACTGAAGTGTTTTAAAGGTTGCTGGGAATCGTAAAGGGGTACATGGCAGTGCCCAGAATTCATTGAGGGAAAGGATGTATTTGGGGTGTGCTGCAAAGGAACAGAGTTTACGCATCCTCAGGATTGTCATCCACCCTCATTGACAGAGCCGCCGTGCCGCGCCACACACCCACCCGGATTTCAGGCAGGTGATTGAACCTGAAACCTCCTGCATGCACACGAGATGCTCCACCATTGAATTAGGGGCGGCGCTTCTCCTAACATAATAACAATAGCAGTGATTATGATGATACCAGTTCACAGACCTTTGAGATACCGAACACTGAAATTAATGCAAGCGGATGGCGCCCAAAGCCAGAGCTCCTCACCTAGCGAGGTAATTAAGCAGAAAACCTTCCGGCAATGACTGCGCTGTTATCCTCTTTCATCTCTTACGCGAACCTACACATTTTGAGTGGTAGTAATTTATGTCAGCGGGGCATATTTCCAAGCAATGTGCTTAGAATTGGGGTTTGGGGTCTTTATACAGATTGATTCCCCCTACACACACACGCTTAGCATCCTTTCCATGTCCCTGTCCCCTGTGGTAAAGGGATGGATTTTCATTTTGCTTCCCTTCCTATAGTGTTTAGTAGGAGTCGGCACTTGGCTCGTCTCTGAATGGATTAACAGGAGACACAAGGAAGCTCAATCTGGTGTAGACCTCCTTCAATCACACGCCTGTGAGATTTGATGGACAAGTGAAAGGCTCAGGAGTAGAAGGAAGCGGTGGAAATTGGAAGGAAGCAGAGTTTGGCCAAGCATTAGGAGAACCTATCAGCCAATGCTGCCTGCCTGCCCCCGGAGATGGTGGTTTCTCTCCTTTGCTGAAGAGGCTGGAAAGGACAATGCAATCGCAAGATTTCTGTATTGAGCAGTGTGTGTGGAAATGGCTGAGCTCCAAGGTCCCTTAGGGAAAGGCTGCAGCTTAGTGGCTGAGCATCTGCTTTGCATGCAGAAGGTCTCAGGTCCAACCCCTGGCATCTCCAAGCAGAGCAAGAAAAGACTCCTTGTCTGAAACCCTGGAGACCCACTACGGTCACGAAGTTGACAATACTAAGCTAGATGGACCAATGGTCAGAGCAGGACAGATGCCTATGAAAGGGCCCTTTCAGAATCTCTCCTCCTGTACTGCCTTTGGCACCCAGGGTTTAACTGGCGCTCGGGTTCCTGAGCTTCCTTCCCCGTCTTTTCTTTCTTTCAGTGCCAGAGTACAGTCAGGGAATTTGAGACGAATTAGATCAACCCAACAGTGCTCCCAGGTCAGAGCGGTGGCGGTGGTAGGCTCCCACTTCTCTGCTTCAGAGACTTAAGTGCCTTCATGGGCCGAGGCCCTCTCCTCTGTTTTGGTTCGTTACCTGTAAACAGCAGGTGAGCCCCCTCACTTACGGCTACTCCGGCTTCAAGGAGCAGCTCCTGGCCAGCGCACCGAAGGCCTTTCCTTCCCTGGGAGAATTTCCAGTGACAAAATTCACCCGGCTGCAAAATACATCTATTTGATCGTACAAGCATTTTAAGAGGAGAGAGGAGAAAATAAGATAGCGCCAAACTATTTCAAAGTGAACTTAGAAGACAAGATGGAGACGTTTGGGGTGCGTGTGCTGGACCAGAAAGAGAGAGCCAGGGGAAGAGAGGAGGAGGAGGAGGCAGGAAATTGCTTCGGGCTCCTATTTGTGTGTCAAGTTTCAGTCCTCGCTGACATTTCTGGCTGAACGCCACAGTCCTGCAAATGGAAAATCAGGTGGTGCTGAGGGAGGCAAGGAAGGCGAAGTAGAGCGGGGTGTGCGTCTGTGTGTGTGTGGGGGGGGTGCGCGTTCCGCTGGCAAATGGGGCAGACCACCGCCTCTCCCCTCCCCTCCCCTCCCGCGCGCGTCCCTCGGGCAGAGCGGCCGTGGCGATCGTCACTGTGCAGCGGAGGGGATGAATCAAGCAGGCATCTGAGCGGAGCGCGGGCACCTTCCGCAATCCATTCAGGCACTGAAGCGCGTGAAAGGCTGCTGATCGCTGCCATTGTTACACGCGGCCGATGTGGGAACCGGAGCCTCAGCTCTGGCAAGAGATAAATAGCCTCTGACAGCGCCTCCTCGCCAGGGGATCGCCTCCAATTGCACGCGGCGGATGCTCCCAGGTCGGTGTTGCTCTCTTTAATGCACTCAGCAGTCGCTCGTTCCCTTGGCCCCGTCCCTCCCCGCTTACACTTCCCTCCCTCCCCCACTCCCTTCCCCTCCCCTCCCTCTCTCTCCTCCTCCTCCCGCACCTCCCCCCGCCCTTCAGTGTTTGGAGTCCGGGATCGCCCTGCTGCTGCATTCGCTTCACCACAGCGAGGTTTTCGGAGCCGCCGCGATTGATGTTGGCCACCTCCGCGTTCAAAGTCTTACTAGTCATGGAGCCCCCGAAAACCCCAAACAGCTCAAATCCACAAACCCCAATAAGCCGAAAGCCTACTTATTCACAGGAAGGCCCGGTCCGCAAATCCGTTCAGCTAATCCATCAGGTTTGGTGTATATACCAAACACAAGCCCCTTATAAGTCGACGTCTTTCCTAACAATCCTGAACTACGACCCCTGAAACCAGTCGCTTCACACATCTCATTTCGTCTTAATGGTGCTGTGGATCGGAGCTGTTCATTTCCTCTCCTTTTCCTGGGTAGCGGTAGCCTCGGGGGAGCGGGTTAAGGAAAGACCCGAACAGCGCAACCCATTGTTTACATGGAAGTAACTCCCATAGAGTTGAATGGGTCTCACTCGCTGGGCGGTGTGCATAGAACTGCAGGCTCCTGGTGCCCTTTAAAAATGACCCTGGCAAGCGAGGGTTATAATGATTAGGAGTGACCGCAGCCCTCCGTTCGCTCCCTGCTGGAATTAGTGCTGTCCGAGATCGCAGATCCCTATGGATTGGCAACGGAAATCGATCGCCTTCCTGACGGTGCGAGGGGAGGGTGAGCAGGGCTTGTAGAAAGGATAAGAGGTTTCCCAGAGGCATCCTGGACACACAAACTTCTTTTTTTTTGCCTGAGCGGACATCTCGATCCGCCTCCCAGTTGAGCTGGAGCCCAACAAGTCAGCCCACCTTTACAAAGAATGGAAGGGGCCCCCGCGATTTTAGACTAAGTAGAGTCCCTTGGAAGGCAGGAAGCGAGCAGAAGTCCAGCCCAGCTCCAGGCTGAAACAGCTGGGGCTTCCTCCTTCCAAGCAAGCGCGTTCGGGATGACGTGTTGCCTTAAACACGGTTGTGGAAAAAGACGGGCCTTCCCATCAGCGTCCTGTCCAGCCATCTTGGCTATATATAGCAGCTTCCTTCCAAAGCCAGGAGACTGAATGCAACTTTATCGGAGTATCGTGCCCGGCCTCATGTGGAGCAATGCTTTGGGAGTGCGCGCAGAACACCCCCCACCCCCGCTCCATATTTTGCCTTCCAATGGGTGCAGCCTTGCAGCCTTTCCTGAGATCTGGGCATTGGCCCACACTGATATTTCGCTAAGCAGTTTGGCCCACAGGAAGCAACAGCTCCCTCTGCATGCAGCAGCCCTTGCACCTAAAGTGGCAAAAGACCCGCAGTCTTACTTGCGAGGTAAGCCTCTTTGAACTCTGTAAGGCTTACTCCCAAGTACTGGAATTGCAGTGCGCAATGAAACCGACTTCCCAGGGTGTTTAGTGATCGGCCAGGCAGCACCCTTGAGCCGGAAGTGAAAAGTCCCATTTAAACTGGAGCAAAACCCGCTAAATAGGCTCGAACTGGGAGTAAGGCACAGTAGACACTCTACTCTCTCTCCCTCTCTCTCTCTCTCTCTGTGTGTGTGTGCTCATCCATACTGTCTTTTAGTGTAGATAGCAAGCTTCATGTACCTCCATTAGTTCTCCGTTGTCCATATCATGCTCCCCTCCAGACTACTGCCTTCCCACACTTCCCCCTCCCTCAATCCGGATTTTCTCATACCAAGAATGCTCCGAAAAGAAGGCTATGAGAAAATCCAGACGGAGGGATGGGAAAGTGTGAAAAGGCAGTCTGCTGGAGGGGAACATGATACGGACTAGGAAGCTTGCTATCCACGTTAAAGGGCATTGTGGATGAGCCCTAGGTTTGCATCTGAGTAAACGTCCATAGGGTTAAGGCGGTTGATAGGAAGAGTTCCAAGTAACTCATTAAGTGTCAGCGGCTCTGTAAGCCTAGGAGAAGGACTCGCCTTTAGGGCAAGAACTCCGGCTGAACTCGTTTGCGGATGGCACTCCGGCGCCGTCCTGGTCTCGCTTTCTTCCTGGCTGCAGCGCGCTCGCAGGCAGCCGTTTCATGTCTGGCCACAGACGAGTCAAGCGGGAGGCTCCCGGAGAAAATCCTATCCTCAGGCTTTTCCTGTTGAGGGAACTTGGAGGGGCGCAGCAGAGGCGAGTCTTGCAGCGGACCTGAAGCAGAGCGGTGGGAAGAAGGCTCGGAAGAAAACCGGTTCCCCTTCCCAGCCTGTAGTCCCCGACTCCTCGGCAGGGGAGGAGGAGGGAGGGAGGGAGGGATGTAATGACAGGCAGGCCGCCAGCCTCTCCTCCCCCTCCTGTGCATAATCGGGCTGCTAAATGTCACCGTCAGGACTGGCGGTGGGTGCTGGGGCTCGTGCTCGAGGGACCGCCGTCTCTGACCTGGAATGAGTTCCTTTTTATTACCTCCACCCTTTCCAAATAATAATCATAATCCTCACAAGACACGCTAGTTTCAGAAGAAATTTATTTCAAGAGAACGAAGCCATATCTTAATACAGGGTTACTTCGAAGTACATACAATACGTGAAACTCCTTGTTCAGAGCATTCGTTAGTTTAGAATTAACCTTGCCTACTCCGCGGTGACCCTCCAGACGCCGCTACAGCTCCCATCATCTCTGACCATTGGTTATGCTGGCTACGGCTGAAGCCCAAAAGCAACTGGAGGGTCACCGGTCCACCATCCTTCCTCTCCTTCGGGAGTTAAAGGCTCTGTTAAATGGCCCTCAAGCAGAGAGGGATCTTTCCACGGCCCGGAACCAGAGTTCCAGTTAAATGGCAATGTCAGGGATCGAACACGCAAAGAACCTGTAAGCCGCCTTGAGTCCCATCCAGGAAAGAAGAGGGGTATCAGTAACAACAAGTGTTTTACCGCTCATTATGCCGTCTCCCTTTAGGAAGTCTCCCTGGGCGCAATGGGACTTGCTATTCCTGCTAACTAAGCTTGGGAGATCCTAATACAGTACGTATTCAGAAATGAGGGGTCTGGCTGCTCAGCGCTGAGACGAAAACACTCTGCGCTTGGTTTCAAATACAGTATCCTAGGGTTGAGTCCTGGCACCGGAAGCACGTTGTGGGACTTTGACGTTGCCAGACCAGGCTCCCTGTGTGGCCCCTGTGCAAGCCCCACTCCCACCCCACCCCTCCTTTCCTCAGCATGCTTTGTTCTGTCGCGTCAGTGAGCAGGCTGAGCTACCGGTCTTTATTTTTTAAGCAGGCTAGTAAAAATATTTATCTTGTTTCAATGTGATCTAATGCTGTCTGGTGGTCTCTTCCACGATTGTTTCCCGTGCAGTCCCGGTAAGAGCACAGCCTTCTCTCTCTTGACTGCAACCCAGTCCTGCCGATGTCTTGCGTCTCCCGGTGTTTGGGGGGGGGTTGGCTGCGGGGAGAGCTTGGCCCAGGAATGGGCGAGCTGCCCTTGGAAAGGAGACGGAGACTCGCAGCCAGAAAGAAAAAGGGAAGGGAAGGGAAGGAAGGGAGAGCGCCCGCGCCTTGCTTGTTCCCAGTGAGTCATCCTTTGCAGCGGAGCCGCGTTTGCAGGTGCAGCCAAGCTGGGCGCTACCTGCTCAGAGGAGGCAGGAGGCTTTGGCGGGGTGCGGGGAAGCTGTCTCCAGCCAGACCTCCAGCTTCTTCCGCTTGCCGCGGAGGGGTTTTTTCAGGCCAAGTCCCCACCTCCCACCCCTGAACTCGAGAAAGCGGTTTTTGGCAAGGCTTCATTCTCGACACTACGTGCTTCGGGTGCTCTGCGCCCCAGAGAATCCAGGCAGTGTTTTGCTAAGCGCTGCTTTCCATGCGCGGCTGCTGCGCTTTTAGGGGTATCGGTTCCCCCACCCCCAACTTCCCTTCACTGGTGTGTCTCAGCCTCGTCTCGTAAACTGCTAATGATTTATTACCTAGGCTAAGTGCTTAATTTGTGAATATGAAACAGATTAAAAGGAGATCGGCATATTTTAGCAGGCAGACCACGGCAAGGCCAGCAGCTGTTTCGAATTTGGAGGTATTTCCAGCCTCCTGGAGAACGCGAGCCAACCCCCAGCAGGAAGGGGGGCGGCGGCTGTCGCTCCTTCCTGGGATAGGAAAGGCCACCTTCGCCTCCCCCCACTTGGCTGGCTCCATCAGGACATCCCTAAGTTCCCTAAGCACTCACCGAGTTCCTTCCGTTGATTTCTGTAGGGCTGTGTGCTTACTTGGAAATAAGTCTACTGGAATTCATTGGATATATTCTACCAAAGGATAGCTGCTTACCCCTTCAGTTGATGCTCTGTCACGGGCTCCCCGCCGCCCACAAGAGGCCTATTTTAAGCAGGTCTGTTCCTGCTTCTGTTTTATAGGTTTAACTGAGAGTTACTTTCAGGTAAGCGTATACTTAGAATTGCAGCGTAATGGAGTTTTTTAGGTCCAATGTCAAGATCACGGCAATTTCTGAATAAGAGTCACCTACAGATCCTACTAGCCGTCGAATAATTCAAGACTGGTTAGCGTGTTTTCTGTCCATTCATGCTTCTACGCGAGGAATTATAACCCCAGATTAGAATCGTGAGCAGAAATTTAGTCAACAACCAGTACAAGGTGGTTCCATCTTTGGGGTTTGGCTCCTGGTTTTGATAACAAGAAGCAGGCGTAACAGAGCTGGAAGTCAATGAATGAGGCTTCCGTGACACTTGATGATCCGGGGTTTGTTCCAGGGAGGCAAAGAGAACCATTTCAAATGGAAAGTCAAACCCACCATTAGAGAAGTTTCAATAAGCTGTTAGAAGAAGCTGGCGGCGCAAAAAAACTAGCTGACACCTAAACAGTTAATAAAAGCAGGGTTACCCGCCGCCGCCGCCGCCCCCACCTTCCCCTTCCAGGATTAACTCCAAATCAAGCCAGTGCAACCGCGGGCTGGTGGTCCCAGCAAAAGGCACGTGATGCTAAGGGCAACGTAAACATCCAGTGGAGAACAAAGACGAATCATTACAGTCACTTCTGCCGGCAAAACTTAAGCAGCGAGAGAGGAGGAAAGTTCTTGCCAAAAATAGCCAGGAGATAATCAAAATAAATACCTTTGATGTAGCCGTGCTCCGGCTGGCCGCCACTTTGTGCGGAGTTCCCTGCCGCTCCCTCCCCAAACAAGGAGCCCGCACAATTAAGCGCCTTCCTTTGAAAGGAGGCCGGGCGGAGAGGAGAGCTCGGCTTTTGTCGCTTCCAGGCGGCGTCGCACATCAAAGGGGTGGCGGCTCGGTCCTTGAAGGTTCCTCCGGCTGCGCAGACTTAGTGGAGCAGAGCCAGCGTGCGAACTGCCTCTCCCGCCCCGCTTGGGTACTTTTGTTAAGGGGCAATCTCGACCACATGGAAGCCTCTGGGAATCGGGGGCTGGGAAAGGAGGGAGGGAGAGGCAGACAGAGAAAATTAAATAGTATAGGGCTAGGAAAGCGTGTCAATATAGGCCTCAGAGATGGAGTATGGGCTGTGGGGGAAAGGGCCGTCTCCAGTCCTCAGCGCTTTTGGTTGTCCTACGCTATGCAAGCTGATTTCGGAGGGGGCCACGGAACTCAGAGGCACTTCCGAGTCATCACGTTGTGACAAGGACCAGTAGCAGGGCTAGCAAAGACCTCTGGCTCAGGTGTCTGCCAACCTAGCAGCGAGTCCGGTTTCCCTTGGCTTCAGGCATTGCCTTACAAGTTTTAAGGACTTCGCAGCAAGCTGTGGCTTCGATCCACAAAGAGCGTGCTAAAACCTAAAGCCAGTCAATATGTTTAGGACTGCCGCCTTCTCTTATCGGAGAACGGAACTGAGGTAAGCAGGCTTTGCCAAACAGAAGTCCAGGACTAGGACTCTTAAGACCAGCGTTCTTCGTAAATACGACCTATTGAAACGAGTTAACTTCCTTGTAAGAATGGCTGGGATCCTGCTTTCAGGACCCTTTGCGGCAGAGGCGGGGAACCTGTGGGTCTCCATTGCTAAACTACAACTCCTATCAGCCCCAGCAAGCATGTCCAGCGGCCAAAGAGGATGGGAGTTGTAGTCCAACAGCAGCTGGAGGGCCAAAGGTTTCCCACCATTGCTCCACAGAAGCAAACGATGCAAAGGTGGCCCAACATCTCGTTGTTTAAAACGAGCCCTCGGGAGCTAGTTTGCGAGCAGAGCGCGCGGTTGATGGGCGCCTTGATGGGCGTCCAAGGAAACGCAGAAACGCGGGGGTGGGGGGAGGATTCTGCCTGCAGTCTGTAATCTGGGTTGCTGTTATCTGGGTGATGAGGATGACAGCCATTTGTTTGCCTCCCTCCTTTTTGCGTTGGAGAACGAGAGCAGGATTCCGCCCGGAGCCTGAATAACCTTCAGGAATTCCTCTTGGCCCGCTTCCAAGCGACGCCTCGCACTCACCTTCCTCCCTGAGCCCATCCCATCTTGATAAGGGCGTTCGCCGTCTCCCTCTCTTTTCCCTTCAGAATCTGAAGGTGAAAGCTCATGGAAAGAGGAAGAGGAAGAAAGCGCAGCTCGGGCTAATTATATATCGCTTGCAAAAGTGGCTTCCCTTGGCTGCCTCGCGCGTTTGGCTGCCATAGCCAGCGAGCCCGGCCGCTCCTGCCCCTCCCGCCTTCGTCGCCACCGAAAGGCAGCTCGCTGTTCTGTATTTCCAATGACTAAGCTCAGGGGGACGGGCGAATAAACGCGCAGAGGGCAGATACATAACACCAGGCTTTCCTTTCGCTTATACAAGCATAGGATCGACCTACAACCTCTAACTGCCCTAGGACGTGCTTCTCTCGGTAAACGTGCTTAGGATCGGATCGCACAAACCTGAACTTAGGCGTGTTGACTCGGAAGTAAGCGCACGTCCCACTAATTTCTATCGCTTTTGTAGTAACAGTGCTTGGCATTGACTTCTAGAGTGTTCAGAGAGCTTCCTATGCAACCACAGAACCCAACTCTTAGGGACCGATGTAAAATATTTGAGCCCCACTCTCCAAGTTGATGGGCATTGCCATTCAAATGGTGTGCGTGCGCGGTGTCTTGTGATGTGGGGCGGGCATTACCTCCTCCCCCTAATGTTTTATTCAAGTTGACACCCCTGGATGCAGACTTATGCGGTCGGTCGGTATTCTGAACCTCCCGGCCGCCGGCCTAGTAGACAGTGGGCTTGATGCTAAAAGATGGTGGGCTTAGTAGCCAAGGCGACACTTGAACCCGGGACTCCTCGGTCGGTGCGCCGCCCTCCCAGCCTCTCCATTGCACTAGCGCTTGTTTTCCTTGGCCGTAGGGGTCAAGCAGCTTTCCGGCCCGATCCCACGGTGCTCATTGTACTTCCTCCTAGGGAGGCTCAGGCCTCAGCAGCCTTGGCTGAAAATGGAAGCAGCGAAGGCTCCGGACTTGGATCGGATTTCACAGCGGGAGAAGGCGCCGGGCGGGGCGTGAGTGCAGCTTTCGCGCATTTTCCAGCCCAAGTGCCGGCGGGGATCATTAGCTGCGAATGGACAAGCGCTGCCTGCCTCCTGGCGCCCTATCAGTCAGCCCCGCGTGCTGCGCGCGAGAGAGCTGAGGGCTGTTGCCTGCCGGCGCTAGACCTTAGGGGAAAAGAGCAGAGACAGCTCGGCTGGCTGTGCACGAGGCGAGGGCGGCGGGTGGGAAGGGGCGAGATGGGTGGGGAGAACCCTTGCGTTGTATGGAGCAAGAGGGGATGTATGGAGGTGTACTGCGGAAGAGGCAGCTGCCGCCGCCGCCTTTCCATACTCCTTTCTGCGCAAAGGGAGAGCGGGTCTCTTACAGCCGCCGCGTTTCTTTGGGCATTGCTTACGAGCGCCGAGAAAGAGCCCTGTGTCATCCTCAGCAGAGCAGAACAGACAGTGCTGGCTAAGAGAAAAATGACTCGCGGTGCCCTTGTTGCGCCCAAAGTTATTGCTCTTGTGAGCCACGGACGCGTCTGGTGCCGGAGCGGTATAAATAGCTGGAGTGGGAGAGGGAGAGGATGCGAAGACCAGGTGTGCAATGTCACTGAACAGATTGCAAGCAACGGTTGATCCCTTGTCAGATGTTGCTGCCAATTACCAGGAGAGAGATGACAGAGAGCCGAGCAGCCTTTGGATAAAGGAGCGAAAGGAAAGGAGGAGGAGAAGGAGAAGGGCGGGAGGGGGACACCCACCAACTTTGGGGTGGGGAGGCTTAAGTCGAATACTAGATCATCACGGCTGACGATGCGTTTGCGAGCAAAGATATCGGAAAGCAAGGCTTGCGGGGATGGCTGGTGTTAACACCAAGTCCAAGCAGGCGCAGATGGAAATAAGATTTAATTTAAAATCTATGGGGCTTATTTCCAAATATGCCAGTTTAGTGCCTGCCTCCTGCGAGATGGAAAAAAGTGGCTTCTTGGCTTCAGTGGGGCTTCACTGTGGGATATTCCGGTCCCATTCAAGTTCAATTACTAAGCCCAGGTTTTCAGCTAGACTTTATCTTTTATCCCAACTTACTTCCCAAGGCTGTTATGAGGCTAAGGTGCTGCTCAGAATTTCCTGGAGGAAGAGCCAGAAGCCTGAGGATGCAGTTGCCAGTATGCTCAGTGGGTTTTTACTTCTGAGTAAGCATGCATAAGATAAGATGGGACCAGAATATCTTATTTGGAATTTTGGGAGAGGACGCCTCATTAAACTAGGTGGGATTTTCTTCTTAGTAAATATACATAGGACCTGGCTATAAATTGAAGTTTAGCTAGTTTAAATGCTGCACACTGCTGCAAAAAGCAGTGATTTTAAAGCACAGTGCAGGAACACTGTTCCAGCATGGCAGTAACATTTTGGCAATACAGTACAAACCAGGTTGTTTAGGAAAGTGACTAGGGTCTCTTCCTTTGGAATTTTTCATGGCCTCCTAAAGAAGAGGAGGGGAGTCCACTTAATCTTTCTGTTGGTAGTAGAAAGATAAATCATCCAGTAGCACCTTACAGATGAGCTGGATTATCTGGAGGCCTGATTTTGTTAGGCTCAATTCTATCTCTTCAGGCGGCTGGTGGTAAACTGAGAAAAGAGTGTGTTCGTTACATACATAGACTGAAAAATTAAGGTGTGCATGTGTGCTGCTGCTATACCTTTGATTATTCTGGCAAGATGCTGAAACTTTCCGCAATACTGAAAAGGAGTTACAATTGCAGATTCTGATGTGATAAAATGCATACCCAGTAGTAGCCTGTCTCAAGGCTGAATTGCAGATGTATGAATGTAGGTCATTTGACACCATATTGTTCAATAAGAATGAACTGTCTCATTGCAATTATTTGGTTTTAAATTCTGTTACGAGTAGTATGAAACCCCTTTCTTGTAGATGTTTGATAATTTGTGCCTATTTCAAATATACAAATTATCACCTGATGTTTTCAGCCATCAAAAGTGATGACCATGTGTCTGTGAATTTCCTTTTTCTTGAAGAGGTGAGAACCCCAAGACAACTCATTGATTAGACAATTGCCAAATTTCTCATGCACGCAAGACAAGCTACTTTTTGAAGTGAGAGAACCACCTGTAATGTTTATTCAGTGCCTAAATAATTTAAACAAAGTCATACAATTAACTCCAATCTTGAAGTTTCCCATTCACTTTGTCCTTCAGAATCCTTCGGTTTAATAGGAGAACTCAAAGATTTATTGACCATCCACAGCAGGCTCTGGTATTTTTAACTGAGAAGAGAGGGGCTGGGAAAGCCTTTGTTTGGTATTCAGCAAAAATGCACTCCACAAGGCCTAAGCACATTGTGCTTATCCTAAGCTCACAGGGATGGACCAGAAAGCCTTGATTGTTCAGGCTGAAGTGAAAGCATTTCTGCTTAGGACCCGTCTCCTTTCTCTAATATGGAATCAGAGTAAAGCATATAGGAAAAGTAATATCATTCTCATGCCATGTAACGTTGAAGTATTGCATTGTAATATGTAGTGTGAAAGAGCATACAAAAGGACATACATTTTAACTACATCCATTTCTAGTGATTGCTTTTGAGTTCTTCAGGGCTCTTTGTCTGGTTTATTTGGGGATGAGAGGAGATTATCAGTTGTATCCAGATTAAGGATGCTTACTAATAAACATACCGTATTTTTCGCTCTATAACACGCACCCGACCATAACACGCACATAGTTTTTAGAGGAGGAAAACAAGAAAAAAAATATTCTAAACAAAACAGTGGATGTATGATTTTTGTGGTTCATGCTGTGGCCACAGACATGTGATCTGACGGTGAATTTGGGGTAGCCCAATGCAAAAATCCTGAGGATCCATGTGGATCCATGCTTTGTAACTACGTTTTTGCACCACTGCGGCCCCAGGCAACAGTGGGTGTGTGATTTTTTTGGTGCAAGCTGTAGCCATGGACATGCTATGTGATCTGATGGTGAATTTGGGGTGACCCAGTGCAAAAATCCTGAGGATCCATGTGGATCCGTGCTTTGTAACCACATTTTAAGTGGGAAGGGAAGGAAAAGCACTCAAGGGACAAGGAGCACGTGTGGGGTGTGTGGAGAAGGATGCTGCTAATAATGCAGAAGAGGGGTTTAAGGGGAGATGGAACACGCGTGGGGTGGGTGCAGAAGGATGCTGCTAATAATGTAGGTGAGGGGTATAAGAGGAGAAGGCTCCTCTCCTCTCCCACTTTGCTCCTTTAAAGCAAGCAGGCTCTGCTTCTCTCCCACCTCCCCGGCTTAGCGAGCTGAAAAACTTTGCTGCTATTTAGCCAGCTGAGTGGGGAGGAGAGAGGGACAGAGAGCCTGCTTGCTTTAAAGGAGCCAACTGGACAGGAGCCGCTTACACTTATGTAAGCGGCTCCTCTCCTCTCCCACTTTGCTTCTTTAAAGCAAGCAGGCTCTCTGTCCCTCTCTCCTCCCCAGTCAGCGGCTCTTCTCCCACTTCGCTGTTTCAAAGCGAGCCGCGGAGGAAGGAAGGAAGGGGAACCATGGATCCTCTGCTCACGACTGCAGCAGATCCCCCCGCCATCCGTAGGCATTCGCTCCATAACACGCACAGACATTTCCCCTTACTTTCTAGGAGGAAAAAAGGGAGTGTTGTGGAGCAAAAAATACGGTATTTAGTATACGATCCTAATTTATATGCCGATTTGGCAGAAAGTGAGCCTTACTTTCAAGGACACTTGCTTTGCATTCACAAAACATTCGCCATATGAAATACAATGTAATAGATTAGCAGAAGGTTAAAAACTATGGCAACAATTTGGGAAATCAAATTTTACTTGAGAGTACTTTTCTGCCAGTAGAAAGTAACCCACCTTGCATGATTCCCTGACCAGGGCAACTGCCTGTATTTACCAGCAATACAGCTACTAATAATATTTACATAAGAAAATGTGACATTTGTAACTATTGTTCTGCATTACTACACTGTTCACCACACAAAGAAAACTCCTTGGTTTCCTGAGCTGTACCACAGTTGTGGCACACCCTCCATCGCAAAGTACTAGAAAACCAAAGTTTCAGTTCACACGCTCCCTAACCCATGATCCTGTAGTATTGCTGACCATATTAAATCCTCAGTGACCAACGAAACAAATAAACCATACATAAGAGATACACAAGTGGATCATTCACAACTGCAGGAGCTTTCTGCAGATAACTGGGAAATCAACCATGAAGTCATCATCAAACACCAACCCCCACCCTGGCGTGTCTCTTTTGAAACTGACTGACTTTTCAAATGCAATCACTAACACAGAATGGGTGGGTCTGGCATTAGGAGTGGGGGGGGGGAGTCTTAAATCCTATTGCGTATGTACAAGCCCTTGGGCATACCTAAAGTAGCACTTTGGATCCCAGCCAGAGTGAAAGCATCTAACTCTCTCTAAATACAAAGATGAATATTACATGGTTAGAATCAGAGGAAGAGTTTTCAGGTTTCAAGGGTACAAGGGCTACTTATTTTGGACCACGTTAGTGGGGAAATCGACAGGCATCTTGTGCGGTGCCAAGGCCCGTCCCTTCAACCATAGCTATATGATCAGTATAATGACATTTGAACTTGTATCCAGTATGCTGACATATTTTGCTAGATATGGAGACATTTTTTATAGATGTGAAAAAGAATGAGGGGAGGCCTGATCCTCAGAGAGAGAAATAAATAGCAGATCTGGCATCATGTTGAAGTGTTCTTTATCTCTGAAATATAAATGAGCCATATGTGAATTTGGGTGACCTTACACCAAATGCAAACATTCCAGAGGGTGGTGAGAATATCACCATTACTTTCTACTGGTAAAATGTAAGGCAGGGCAACAGGGATGTGGTCCTCACAGATGCTATAGCCTCTCAGATGCTACAGCCCAGCAGATTACCATAAATACAACTGCTGGAGCCTTCCCACCAACTCTACATTGTTCCTTCCTTGCCCCTCCCCTGCTGAATCAGAGTTGGGGGGAAATGCTTTCTCTTGTAGCCAACCAGCCAGTTCTCCATATGGAAAACAGACAGTTCACCACATGCTTGTCTGCAAACCCTGCTAAGTTCCCACCTATACATTGGTACCTTGGGTTAAGAACTTAATTTGTTCTGGAGGTCTGTTCTTAACCTAAAACTGTTCTTAACCTGAAGCACCACTTTAGCTAATGGGGCCTCCCGCTGCTGCTGCACCACCAGAGCACAATTTCTGTTCTCATCCTGAAGCAAAGTTCTTAACCCGAGGTATTATTTCTGGGTTAGCGGAGTCTGTAACTTGAAGTGTATGTAACCTGAAGTGTATGTAACCCGAGGTACCACTGTACTCACTCAGTGGGTGTAAAAATTTGCAATGCCATCATGAAGTCATGGCTTCTGAATATGATGAAAAGAGTGATACATAAACCCCATTCATGCATTACATGGATGTAGGGTGTGAATCTACTGGAGAAGCAGTAGGGCTGTGCTTCTGGCCCCGCCCACATGTCACATTCCTGGGCTAGCCCTGGCTTGAATGTCCACATGCTGAGTGGTGAGATGCATGTTGAACACGTGAGCACAGCTAGGTCAGGCACTCAACATGTTTTGAATATGCACAAATAATAAGTGGGTAGCAACGATCAGAAAATGGCATTGGCCAAATTAAGTTATTTGAAATGAAAAAAACATATTAATGCTACAGTTATGCAAGCCACTGTCTCTGTACTGTTTGGCAGACCTGCTTTCAGCTGTTATGGTCCCATGGATGGAAGACTAGCCCTTCATTTAATGTTTAAAGCAGGACTACCATGTCCTGTATACTATTTGTACATGGTGTCAACCCAGTACTCAATTTACTGAGGGCAGGGATGATGCCCACCAGAGTTTCTGCCCCCTTTATCTTTTATGATGGCCACTTTAACTACTGTTTTTGGAAGGCTTCGGGGACATTTTTTCTTGGCTAAAACTCAGTGGAACCAGGAAGGGGACCTTATTTGTTTCATTAAGGTCACCAATGTTTCCCCCTGTAATTCAAGTTCCAGGTCAGCCTGCTTATTAGACAGCACTACACTGGCACTTCTGTTCCACCATGAAAAAGGGTCAGAGGCTGATAAATAACACAGAGACATATAATTATTGGGGACAGAAGTTAACCCTTATCTGTTTATGGGTCTCAGAATTATATCTGGGAAGTATATCAGTGGGAAGAGTGTTAGTTTTCAGAATACAATACAGTATTAAAATATTTTCTAGCCACCACGAGTGGTGGAAACACTTGCACTCTTTGGGCCACATTGCTCAGAATGCTTCACTTGGAGAAAGAACCCGTTTCTCCAGAGCAAGAATGGGGTTTGTGAGAACACACTGGCACGTCTTCTGCTAGGATGCAAAATAGTGTTAATTCTGGGAGCCCCAGTTCCTTCCTCTGTTCTCTTGGGATTGGTGTTCAGATTATTTAGTTTGTCAGGTATGTGTATGTTGCAGAATCCCCAGCCCAGTTTCACTCCCTCTTCTGAGATGAAGGATAAAGATGGCATCCCTCCCCATTCCACATTCAGAAGTCAACTAGATTGGCTGCTGAATATTACTACAGTATTGCACCTTAGGTAGCAGGCTAATTTAGGGTGGCCAGAACAGGCTATATAAAATACACAGCTCTGTCCTCCAATAGACTGAACTGCCCAGAGGGCTCTTATGAGCAAACAGGGGGCTGCCACTGCTGCCCCAACATCTGCCACCTAAAGCAGTTGCCTCATTTTGGTAGGGCTGCCCCTGCTTACACACACAATGTTGCCTATCCTCCTGAAAATTACAGTGCACAACATAAAGTTTTATTTATCACTTTTTTGTTTTCTAAAAATTGTTAAAGCGATAGCTCGGGAATAGTATAGTAGATGGTCACAACCCTGAGTGTTGTTCATGCATGCTACTGGAACAGGAGGGAAATTTAAGTGAATTGTTGTTGTTTTCTCTCAGCTGAAGAATTACCAGTGTGTCATGCTGCAGGATTTCACTGCTACTGACACCAATCTCCTGCATTTAAATGTCATGGCTGCTGGATAAATGCTGTGTTTGCCTTTTGTGAACTGTGAATTTCTTTTTAAACATGCCTGAATTTATTTGGCACTTAGTCTGCATGCTAAAGAGGCAATTTGCTTGACTTCAGAAGTCATATATTGGCCCTGCATTGCTTATTTCAGGGGTAGGCAAACTAAGGCCTGGTGGCCGGATCTGGCCCAATCGCCTTCTAAATCTGGCCCGCAGATGGTAGGGGAATCAGCGTGTTTTTACATGAGTAGAATGTGTCCTTTTATTTAAAATGCATCTCTGGGTTACTTGTGGGGCATAGGAATTCATTCATCCCCCCCCAAAAAAATATAGTCCCCACATAGTCTGAGGTACGGTGGACTGGCCCACAGCTGAAAAAGGTTGGTGGCCCCTGGCTTATTTCATTGGATGTTACATAATTTATCATATCAATGTTCCTAAAAGAGGCTGCTTTTCAACTTTTATTTTTAAGGAATACAAGGACTGGTCCTTGCACCTTAAATTCCCTATGTCCCCCCACTCTGGGCTGAAGTGCAAAATGAATCTCTTCTCCTTCCATAGTGCACTGCAACAAGGAAAATGCCTTGTGCAAAATCCATTCTTCACAACAGCAGGGTCCACCACATGTCGAGAAATCCTGCGGAGCTTGATAAACCAGCTTTGCAGCTACTAGTGATGAAGGTTTCAGCCCTACCAAACCACGTAACCCAGGCAGTGTCTTGTTTGTTCCATGATCTCATTATGCATACATTTATGATTCATCTAGCTTGAATGTGTACATTAGTGGCCTATAATAATAGATGAGCCATAAAAAAGCGGTATTGAATTGATAACACACCTGCATTTCTAGAATGAATATTTTTCTAAAGAAGTATCATAGTGATGAAAACTGTGAAGTCAAACTATTGATATGACAGAGTCTGGGAATTCTGACAATATAAATGTCAAAAATGTTGAGAAAATAGTTTTTTGTAGATTTAGAAAACCAACAGGGTGAAACTTTATTTTGCTGTTAATCCGCTACTGTTCCTGAGCATATGCATCAGATGTTGGCCAAAACCTACTATACAGCTAGAGAAGCTCTATGATCTTGATTACAGGATTTGACCAGGAAAGCCAGGCTTAAACCCTTGCTCAACCATGGATGACATTGGGAGCCAGCTACTATCTCTCTTCCTAATCTAATTTACAGGATAAAATGGGACTTGGAAGACTATGTAAGCAGATGAAAACATAATAATAAGTACAGTGGTACCTTGGGTTACATACGCTTCAGGTTACACACTCTGCTAACCCAGAAATAGTGCTTCAGGTTAAGAACTTTGCTTCAGGATGAGAACAGAAATCGTGCTCCGGCAGCGCGGCGGCAGCGGAAGGCCCCATTAGCTAAAGTGGTGCTTCAGGTTAAGAACAGTTTCAGGTTAAGAACGGACCTCCGGAACGAATGAAATACTTAACCCGATGTACCACTGTACATGCATATTTCATTTTGCATAATACAGCTCATTTCTGATACGCAGTTAAATTACTGATAATGCCCTGTGATCCAGGAATGGAGATTTGCTTACAGAACCAGGTTTCTGCATGCACAGCCAGTACAGATGGAGATGTGAATCTGGATGTGTATCTGCACATGCCATGGTAGAGACACATCTCTATGTGCTGAGGGACAAATGGGGTCAGAACAAACGGGCAGTTGGAGGTGATAAGATGTATCCACAGTTTATTGTTATAGCTGTTTCTTGTTAGTTTCTAGCTCTAAAAAAAGAAAAGCCTGTTTGGTCTTTAGATAAACGACCAGGAGAGCTACACGCAACACATAGGGGCCCTGTTAAAATGGCTGAAAGGATATTTTAATGCAGATAAGGACGCACATCCCTATCCGGACTCATTAGTTGTTGCAAGTGACTGACTGTACATGACTAGAGCTGGATCTCGGTCATTCACAGATGAGCAGAAGGGGAGCAGAAATACAAGGCTATGTTCAGGGCAGTAAATATTTTGAGGTAAGAAATATATATCATAAAAAGAATTGAGCATGATTTTAGGGGGAAATATAAACGTATTCAGTTTACATATTATGGTCTGAAATCCGAATCTGCAGATTTATGACAGGCGGAACTTTTGAGAAGGGGGAATAAACGAGGGAGCAGTTTGTGTTTACCAAATACCGTCATATAGAATTGCATGCCAATGGCGGGGAGATGGCAGCAATCTTCCTTCTTCCAGTTAGAGCTCAAAGCCAGAGGAAGTGCCCGCCTATTATAAGAACATGATGTTGCTGGATGACAGAACAGTGGATTATGACTTCCCAGAGACCCACATTTTTTCTTATATGAATGGAGTGGGGCCTGGGAACAGATGGCCACACCGGCAGACAAGCACCACCCTCCAATACTAGATTGTGGCAATTTTCTGCACTGCACTTGTTCAAGCTATGGGAGTGGAGATTCTTATTTCTAATTTTGAAGCTATTAGCTTCAATAAGGAGTTCTACCTAATAGATGCCCAGACAATGGAAAGTCCCGAATAAAGATGTCTAGAAAGTCTGACTGCACCATGAGGAACAAATAACACAAAAATTCCATCAGAAGTTGACCCATTTTATCCTCAAAATGTATAGCCAGTTGGGCAAAGAATGCCCTTGAACGTCCCAAAGATCTCACACCCACGGTGGGAGTCATCCAAAATAACTCCATGGATTGGCTGCTAGAGGATGCAATGGAAGCTGCAAAATGAGCTGCACAATGAGGCTTCTTGCATTGTCCACACTGTCATATGGTAGGCATGATTATATGCCCAAACCAGTGTTTGTTGGGTTTCAGAGTGAGACTTGTGCCAGTTGTACTCTAGACTTTGACCAACTTGCTTCATAGCCTGAAGCTCTCCAGAGCACCAAGGAGCCAATCTGGCTCTACAAGATGGGAGAGTGAGTGATTGTGTCAACCGCCCATTACATCCTGCTATCCCATGGCGGAACCAGAGCTCTAACAGGATCATCAGCTTTATCAGCTGGAAGATCCGTCAAAGGATTTGGGAACCCCTCAGGTTCCATCAGCCTCTGAGGGTGGGCAATGTGAATGGGTCCACTACCCTTAGAGAGGGAGATTGCTGCTACTAGTTCAAACTTCATCAGGTAATGACCCAAAAATGACAAGAGAGTGCAAGAGAGTCATGTGGAAAGAAAACCTAAACATGACCCCCCTCTGTCAAAACAAGTAGCATGTACTGCTTTATATTTCTTTTTAATAATACAACTCTCATAATTCTGGGCTTTGCTATCTGTGTCATAAGATGTGTACATTGTATAATTTCTTACATTAATGTTTTAACTCAGTTGATAACCTCCCAATGATCTCATTAGGCACTGGATCTTAATATCTTATAAGCATGCAAGACTAAAGCCATCTCTCTTCCTTCCCTCCCTGGCATGGCACCTCTTTAAGCAAGAAAAAATGTGGTGTGCAATAAGCCAATCATAACACAGCTCTAAAGAAAGTATAAGCTGTAGCCAATCAATGGTCTGCCCATTTAGATTCTGCACATTGATGTGCACCAGGAAGCAGCCAACACACAACATTGGGGATTCATGCTGGTGCAAACATTTCTCCAAAAGTACTTTCCCTGTTTCAGGAAACTGGCACAAGATCAACCCAGCACAGGGTATCCCCAAGGCCAATTTCAGATTGTGTAAATTTGGAGGACAAGGTGCCAGATGGCAATTGACTGGTGGCTAATAGTCTGAATCACAAAGGAATGAGTATTTGGATGCATGCCATTTTAATCTTCCACTGTAAGTGGATGGTGAATCATATCCCCAGCTCACCTCAGATTTTTAAGAGGCAATTTTGTTACCCATCTACCACTTGATAGGTCACTGGATTCACAGATCATGCAATAGGTCCCCTAAATCACACTATTGGGACCATCTATTGTCAGTTGCAATAAACAGTTAACTTTTCTATCAGCTGCTCTGTGCTGAGTCTTGCAACATCATGAAAACATTAGTTCTCTAGACATACTGTAGTTTATCAGATCAGATGAGATTTGATATTTGGAAGTGAACCCCCCCCCAAATCTTCTTTTTTGCTCTCCACAATCCTTTGTTCAAAAATGTATGTGGGGGAATTTAATATATGAATCTCTGTGGACCCACATGTGTAGGTGAACAACCAAAGAAAATAGCTGGGTTCCTGGATTCAAAACATGGGGCTTTGCACACTCTCCTGCAGGGAGAGAGCCCCAGTAGCAGAGTTTAACTCACAGAGTTTAATGCACAAAAGTTAAGAAGCAGTATAGCATTAGGAATATGGGTTGTTAAACCTTTTTATCCTACTCAGCTGCACACAGCACTGACCTCTTTCCACGTCTCTTGCAATGAGCAGACCACACATTGTTAAGTACGTTTAAAAAGCTTTACTTACAGATTCAAAGTCTCAGTCTTGCATGATGCCATGCTGCAGCAAGGATAATACAGTACAGGCAAAATACGCTTGGGTAGAAAATAACAGAATATAGTTCCAAACATGTGCTGTAAGCTCAGGAAAAAGCTTACACATGTCCTCTTTCACTGGTTACATGATGCACACAGAGAGAGACAGAGGGGAAGCAGAAATGCTTCACTTCCTTCCTTTCCAGAAGAAAGGGGGCATGACCTGAGTCTATCTAGCAATGCAATTCTGTGGTCCTTTACCCCTTCATGCACTATGCTTGCTAGCTGTATTTGACTGCAGCCTCCCACAATGTATTCCCACATAGACACAAACAAGCAGTCACATGGTGTCAAGTGTAATGTTCTAGGCAGGTCACCTTAACAATGCGAATCAATCCTACACAGAGTTTAAATAATCTGAAGCTTTTGGGGCAAATAAAGTTCAGGTATTTAAGCTCAGGTACTCATTGCTAAAGCACACCGCTTCTGTCATGACTGGGTAAAAGGGGAAGGTTTTCAATGCATTACAGATGTTTAAGGCAAATTAAAGGGGTAAAAAACCCAGCTAGGTCTCAGAGCCTTGTAAATCATTCCTACTGCTTCTGATAAATACACTTAAATGCTTCCAGTCATACCTCTCACTGTAGGAGATATGCAGCAGACAGTAAACTCATGCCAGAGGTGCTAGATTCCTTCTTGTACTACATTCTTTGCAGCTACTGACCATGTATGTTGTATAAACTCAGAATATATATTTTCCAGGTTCACACAACATACGTGTGACATAGAAACCATTGATATCTATTTGTTAGTCACTCTGGGTAGGTTTTTTTTTTAAGTGTAAGGATAATATATACGCCTCATATAGATCTATTCTATACCTAAATTATGCAGGACTGGGAAATATAACCACCCACATACAAAGACAACCAATGAACTCATGAAGATGGGAAACACCTGCAGTACACATACCACACTACAATGGAACCTCGGGTTACATACCGTCCTCCTTACGAACGCTTCGGGTAACGAGCTCCGCTAACCCAGAAGTAGATGCTTCTTGTTGTGAACTTTGCCCCAGGATTCGAGTGGAAGTCTTGTGAGGTGGCGTGGCGGCAGTGGGAGGCCCCATTAGCGAAAGCACACCTCATGTTAAGAACAGTTTCAGGTTAAGAACAGACCTCCGGAATGAATTATGTTTGTAACCGGAGGTACCACTGTATACACAGATGATGCCACAGCACCCTCACTTGATCAGCCCCCACGACACAGCTAGCAATGAGCTTTCTACTGCCAGTCCCCAGGCATTCCTCCAAGTCAGGGGCTTCAGAACCCCTTATGTTCTTTGTTACTACGGTGGAGCACAGCATATCCTAAGAGAAGTCACAAAACACACCACTCACACAGCTCCCTGGGCAAGGGGCTTGGACAGCACTCATACAGAGAAAGAGACACATGCAAACCTTCTTGGCATAAAGGTTCAAGATCCACCTGGGAAGGGAAAGGTCTTTTTTAACAAACAGGTGAAAGCAGAGACCAGGACATGCAACAAGGGTAGATACACACTGACAGCAACAGCCTGCTGTGGTTTACTGCATGGTACATCAGTTGGGAAGTAGGAGACAGGAGTTCAATACTCCCAATCATATTTCCTATGCTGAGGAGGGGAGAATTATGTTTATGGGCAAAAAGAAGGAACACCTCGGACTCAAATTCACGCTGGAAATACCACTGAGCAACTCCCTGATTTTTTTTACTTAATGGGGTTTGTATACCAATTAATCATCTAAGCCTGAAGTGGAGAGCTTTTGGCTCTCCAGATGTTACTGAAATACTGTATAACTTCCATCAGCCTCAGCAAGCATGGACAATGGTCAAGGTTTATGGGAGCTGTAGTTCAGCCACACCTGGATCCACTAAGATCCCCATACCTGCTCAAATTGGTTTATATAAAATATACATAAAATATACTAATAAAAACCAAACATTAAGAACAAGCTGACCATAAAAAATAAAAAATATAAATAAGATCAGCAGTGTTAAAAATATCTGTGATAAAATATAATTACATATTAAAATGCTTGTCAAGTGTACATGTCTGGGTAGGCTCGCCTAAACAATTTGTTTTTCTGCAGGTGTCAAAAATACACAGCAAAGACACTTACCTAATATCAAATGGTCCTTGAGTTCCAGAGTCTAGGTCCTATCACACTGAAAGATTGGCTCCTTGCATGTGTAGAATAAAAATTATGAGGCATTTGTAAAAAGATCTGCACTTGTTCTGCGGATCAAGGAAATCAAATGCCCACATATGGAGTACAATAATCTTACCACTCAGTCACAGCAGCAGAAAGCAATCAGGTGCACCATGGGGTATGAGAAAATAAGAAGAGGCCTGCTGGATCAGGCCAAAGGCCCATCTAGTCTAGCATCCTGTTCTCACAAGAATCTGAGCAACCAGATTCTTTCCATCAGATCCCCCCATTCAGCATGTATGGCATAAGGCCAGAGAGGTATATTCCAATGTCACATGCCTAATAGTTGAGTTATGGTCTCACTGTGTGGGGCTTATATACCAATTGTGGTATCCTGTGTTGAGTTATACCATATCCTGTGTTCTGTCACTGAGGTGTGGGCAGTGTGGTCATCGGTGCAAGGAAGCTATTTTTACATGCGCCGCTCCTACTGAGATCAATGGAAGAGTGAAGTTTTGTCACCAATGGGGGCATGGCCATGGATTGAGAGAATAGGATCTGGTGCAAGTGTGTTCCTTTCTTGTGCATCTCAGCCAAAGACTGCCCCCGTTTCAGCTATTCTGCTGTTGTATTGGGGAAGCTTCACAAATCCGAAAGCCTCTCAGCCAGTATAACACCAGTATAGTATTGCACCCCAAATGAATAAAAATAAATAAATAATGAATGTATGAAGATGTCTAGCAAGGTAGTTGTGTTTGTTGCAGCAAAAACATCAAGAGAGACTTGTGGCACCTTAAAGACAAATAGATCATGCCACAATAAGACTAACAATAATAAAACTAACAGCTTAAGCCACAATAAATCTGTTAATCTTTAACATGTCACAAGATTCTTTGTTGAATGAAAAGGGTCTCAGTATGGGTGCTTTCTCAATAATAGTGAGATACTACCATTCTTCATCAGCTTGTTTTTTAATATTTCCTTTCCTTAGTTTCCCCCAGAAGTGGTGTCTTCCCTGGGAGTGTTTCAGTGTTGTCTCCCACCCAGTAAACGCCAGATTGCTCTGCCTTCCTCTTCCTGGGAAGTAACAGAAACAGCAAGCATGCTCTCTATCTGCAATTCAATATTTATTTAAATTTGTATCTCACCTAGAAGGCTCAAGCAGAAAATAATTTGTTTGAAAACAAATGAAATGTATAATTGCTGTTGGCACCCATAACTTTTACCAACTTTTATTGAGCCTACACCTTTTGGAGACAAGATGATTGGACCGTAGTTAGTCAACTCTAGTAATATACAGGCTAGATTATTGTAATACTGCCTCTGAAACACATCTAGAAAGTTCTACTGTCACAGCCAACTGCACAGTGCACATGGTATGTTAAAATATATTCACTGTCTCCCAGTTAATTTCCAAGGTCAGTTCAAAGTTCTAGTTTTGGCCTTCAAAGTCCTCAGTGGTGTGGGGATGGGGTATAAAAATGGTTTTTCTTCTCGCATTTGAACCTGCCAGCCAGCAAAATAATGTGTAGAAATCATTTCCCCAGGTGCCCCCCACCTTCTTAAAGTTGAATGGGAGAATAACGGAGAGGATTTTTATTGGGTGACACTCAAATTATGGAACCCACATTCAGTGAGCATCAACTCTTACCTTTTAGGCACCAAGTAAAGTCCAGCCCGTTATCTGGAGTGTTTAGTGCTATATGTGATCGCTTAATGACCCTTTATCTACTGGATTTCTGTGTTTGGTTGGTGTAATTGCATTTATTATACTGTATTAGCTTTATTGTACTTTGTTATTATAAGTCACCTTGAGGCCATTTTACACCAACAGGTAGGACAGAAATATTATTAAATCCATGCATCCACCCATACAAACATACCCATGCCGAGTTAAAAGAAAACTTTAATGGCCAACAACTGTGGCCAACAATTGTCAGTTCAAAACAAAAAGTAACACAGTGCTAATGAGAGGTGGCTTTAAAGCTTTCCAATTGTCATTCAGCCAAAAGGCAAGTCTGTATAATGTGTTTTGTGGTTAAAGTATGACGCACATGTAGCATTGTTAGGCAGAACAGGAGATGTGTTAGTCCATTGTTACAAAAACAAAGAGCTCTGTGGCACCTTGAAGGCCTACATAGCATTCTGGCATGTTTTCATATTCATGAGCCTATATTTCATAAGATCCTTTCCCTGGTGCCTTCCTCCACCCCCATATTATCTTTACTTCTTTCCTTCCACCTCCCTTGATGCACACACTCCAATTTGGGCTGCTCTTTGAAACAGCCACATTTTCGCCCTAGCTATTCGCTGGATCCTAGAATAAATATGTGCAGTGTGATTTCTAGACAACTTCTGGATAGGCTCCACAGGCATTTCCAAGTTGGCTTGTGGGGGCTTTTGGCACTGTGTCCTATCATCACCTGCTAAATGCAACACAGCAGCCTCCTTTCCTGGATCTAGTAAAATCATCTCAGTAGGCTGAGGCTTGGTTGCAGCAAGCAGTACCACAACTGCAAATGGCACCTAGCAACTGCCTCAACACTCCTTGTAAGTCTAAAGACTAGATAAAGAGGTTGGCTGTATGCCTGAGAAGAAAGTTGGAAGTAAATTTTCTCTGACTGCTTCCTACCTTGTCAGTCAGAAAAGGAATAAGAGAATATCAGCAAACCAGTTGAATCAGCATTCAATCCATTTTAAAGCTACTGCAGAAACTTGTTAAGATGGCATGCTGGACTTAAGGTGGTCTGGTTCTGTCACATAACTCTTCAGCACATTTAGACAATAGCCCTGCTAAATTTAGTTAAATCATCAATAGCTTTATTGGATTGGATTACATCTATCAGTGATGCACTTGGAGGGATATGTTGTTGGCATCTGTCTGTCTCAAGAGACAATGGACTGCACTTTCAAGGGTCAAACTACTGCATTAGTAGCACCGAAGTGACCTCCCCAGAGTGCAAGTTTAGGCAGTGTGTATGAAGGTCCTGGGCTGCCCAGACAACAAGACCCCACTCTTGGTCTCACTTATGTAGTCCAAAGGAAAGCAGAGCAATACATTTGACACCAGCTTGGCTACAGCAGTTGCCAGAAGGAGGCATACAAGCTTGTGGTAGGCATGGCTGGATGCGTCATGAAAACATAGCTGACATTTCCTTCCGAGTTATCATGTTCAGGGCCAGCACTACCATTAGGAAGAATGGGGCAGCCGCCTCAGGCAGCAGATGCTAGAGGGTGGGCAGGGAGTGGGTGGGAGGTGTTGGGGGAATAGATGCAAGTATTGGTGTTGGGGACAGATGTGTGTGAGTCATGGAAGGCTTTCCTTCAGGTGTGGTGGATGCTATCTGTTCCCAGTGATTTCCAGCTTGATTTTCTTCTTTCTATATGTGGAATGGGGAGGGGTGCCATCTTGGCCTTTCCTCAGGCACTGGTGGAGGAAGGCAGGTGCGGGGGTGTGTGTCAGCTGTGAGGGCGAGTTACATCGCAGTGCCATCCCCAACCCCACCACACGCTCTCCGTGTGGGTGGCAGGCAGCTAGGGATGCTCGCCACACGGGCAGCTAGCAGCACCCCCCTACACTCACCGCGCAGGCGGCTAGCCCTGCCCCCACGCCACTCCAGGTGCCAGGGCAGGTAGCTCTGCCCCTGTCCTCAGGCAGTAGAATGCTCTTCTGAGCATGTTTATGAACACATATCTATCTAGAACTATTTTGCCTCGTGTTTAGTCTCAGTGATCCAATCCTTTTAGGGACTCCACTCTAGATTTGTGTAAGGTTTTCTCCTTAGCCCGTTCTTCTCTGAGGATATCCCACAAGGCAGCAGAGGTTTAGGATCAGAGTTTTCCTTCTCCTGGATGAGCTACTTTCCCAGGTTGACGAGCCCCATCTGCCCCTCACTTCCCTCTACAGCATGTGCAAAAACTACCTTCTTGACCTTTGGACCCACTATTGTTCTCCTCCTCTCAATCCATCAGAGCCTGTCTTTCCATGCAGGGAAAGTCCCTAACTTGCCAAGGATTTGACACCCACTGGTTTAGCCAGTCGAAGCCATGTGGGTGTAGCTGCTGTCACATGCTTACAGCTTCTAGGAGCCACAGGAGAAAGCTGAATGCTGGGTGGGGACCAGAGGTACTACCCCTTCCATAACACCCAATACATCCCTTGGAGGGGTATATCAACTAGATAACCTCAGCTGAAAACAAAAGCAGAATGTAAACCTCCTGTACTTTTTGCATATTAGTTGTGACAAAACTGAGGCCTGAAGAAGAGTGGGGAGAATGATACCTTTTGTAGAAATCCTTTTTATCATTCAACTTTGGGGAACGTGGGAATGCATGGCATGAGAAACTAGTGTGATTCTGTGGTTTGTTTTTTAAAAAAAAAAACGGTTCAAGGAGCTCTGTACCTCACTTTACATGGCCAAAATACATTATCCTGCTCCATAATGGAAAGGGATCATTTTGAGAAAGTTTTGATCAAAGGGGACAGCATCACAAATATTTGCATAATTGCAGCATTTCAAAGCTTAAGAAGCCAGGGCTGCTTAAGAAGCTGGGCATAAATATAGGACTTCTGCCCATCTTAATATCTAGGGTAAGGATGTATATTTACTGACATGCTCCAAGACCTTCTTGGAGGCCAGAGAGGGGGGATTTGGAGATGTGGTAGTTACAAAAATAACCCAGGCCTCCTGTGACAAAAAGAATTAAAAATAGACTCGCTTAGCTAGCGGTTTCCAACTCTGGAGCACACACAGCCTTATGGTAAAAACTCTGGTCATTAGGCAGTGAATGGCCTTGCCTGTAAGTAGAGAATTTTCAAGAAGGGAAAGGAAGGACTTTGCTGTCCTTAGGAACATTGCCTTTCCTGAAAAAGCAGCTCTTTTTCTTGTTAATGAACTGGATGGAAAGTTAAAATATAAACAGGGCTGCAGGAGAAGAAAAGCCTCTAGGTCAAATATACAAGCTTTTCTGATGTCAGAAGGTATGGTAGGGGGAAAACCTGCAAGTTGCTGACTCTGGGGTCTTCTCATTTCAACAATACTATATTCCAGAGTAACAGATTTGAGGACTAAGGTGGTGATTTAGGGACAGCACAACTGGTTATCCTCCAGTAGCTGTCTCATACCACACTCACATTACACTGAATGATTAAATTCTTGCAAGTTCAGATGATAGTTTTATGTTGTAGTTCACATGGTTTGCAACAGTAATGGTATTTTTTGTAGTTCAAATGGTTTGAGATAAAAGGCCATACTGCATGCTTCTTTTGTTTCCCTTGTTTATAAGCCCCACTATGGTTAAATTCAGTGACAATTCCTTTGGTTTGGTCACAGTTTTTCCCTATGGAGTAAAGGACATGATGGGACCACTAATGTTTATTTTATTTAAGGATGCAATCCTAAACACACATATTAGGGGTTTCCCTTGGGGCTTACTCCTTCCTAGTAAGTGTGCTTCAGATCAAATAAGACAAAAAGCAGAATTCCAGAATGCCCTCTACTCTATGGGTAAAATTGTGGTGAAACTGGTGTCGTTAACTGACAATGAACTGAACACAGGCAAGTTTTAATCCATGATATTTTAGCATGCACGCACACTGTATTTCCCATCACCCCCTCAACCTAATTATGTAGCATAACTGTCACAGAACCAACATGCTTAAGTCTAATTAATGCATGAAAGGGTTAAAAGCATAGAGCAAGCTGTCCTGCCAGGCTCAGCGCACCTTTGGAAGGAGAAGGTATTCAAGCATTTGTTCCCCTCAGTCTACCTAACAAGCTCAATGTGTGAGGAAGTCTGAGCTAGTTATCCAAGCTCATATTGGATGGCTTTCACAAGCCATTCTTGAGTTTGTATATAAATCATTTCACCACTTGGGAACTAAACTAAGTTTTACTGTCTGTGCAACTGTGCATACTGATGTATGGAAAAGCACATGAACCTGACCTTTAGAGAGTTTGTAAGGAAACCATTTTTAACTTACTAAACATATGGTATTTTCCTATATTGGCAGACTAGGAGACTATTTCGGAACTTACTTGGAAAGGCATTTTTAAAAGGTCTAACTGCCTAAATTTCCATGCTTTGCTTTGCTACATATTTTGTGATTTTAAATATCTGCTGGGGTTCTCTCACCAAAGAGTGCATTCCCCAAACTTGGATCTTGGCAACCAATGAATGCTTTTATACACACACACACACATTCTTCTGAATCAAAAGGTTGCATATGGAAAGGTGCCATGCAGGATTTAGCCAAAAGCTAAGTAAAGACCATTTTGATAAGTCATATGGCTAGCCTAGACAGAGAACATGCCAGAGGTGCTAGTGGACAGGCAAAATTGGTTCCTTTTCTCCCTCTGTATAGTCCATTAGGTACTATTGTAGATTGCACAGTGCTCTTATTATGTGACATGTGCATACACCATGTTTAGCACACCTATGACTTGCACAGCTTCCTCCCAAGATATTGCAAATAATTTAAAACTTCCTATAACTGGGATATGTGGCATATTCACATATTTGTATGAATCTGTATTATAGATCTTCACTAGGCAGTGTGTGTTCCTTTAAATTAAAGAAACCAACTATGTGGCCAGTCTCTAAACACAGTCTCATTTTAAAAAGAAAAAGAAAAGGGGGAAATAATGCCCTGTCTAGGCACATTATTTTAATGATGGTAGAATAAACTTTTCAAGACTTGAGGATAAACTGTTAGCTTATTGAGTGTTATGTAGAGTAGGAAAATTAGAAGGTGATTTCACACAACCTGCTTTTCCTCTATGGTACAAAGTATTCATAACTATGTGGCAGGATTCCCAATGGAAATGTTTTTTTTGAGCAAGACCCAAAATTACTAACATGGCCCTGAGCACATTTGTAGGCTAAAAATAAAAAATATGCAAAGAAATTAATGTACACTGAGTTTGTGAGTTTTATTCCCAACTTGCTCTTTGAAATGATAGGTTTCCTCACACAAAGCATGTGACAGAGAAAAAGACAATGGGAGCCTATGAATGAAAATGAATTACTGGGGGCCATTCAAAAGGGGCAAGTAATCAGTCAGGGTTTCGAAACTCAACCCACTCGCTTTTTAAAGGAAAAGCCATAGCCATTACAATGGTACCTCGGGTTGAGTACTTAATTCGTTCCGGAGGTCCGTTCTTAACCTGAAACTGTTCTTAACCTGAAGCACCACTTTAGCTAATGGGGCCTCCCGCTGCCGCCGCCACGCCGCCGGGGCCCGATTTCTGTTCTCATCCTGAAGCAAAGTTCTTAACCGGAGGTACTATTTCTGGGTTAGCGTAGTCTGTAACCTGAAGCGTATGTAACCCGAGGTACCACTGTATTGAGTAACTACCACTACCTAGCAGTTTCATACTCCGGGAACACTAAAAAAACCTGCAGTCACCACCTAATAAGCACCAGGTACAACCCTGCTAGAGGGCTTTTTGAAATTTCCTTTTAGAGGGGGGCAGGATTGGAGGATCTCAGAACTCCAAATATGGAAGCCAAGGCAAAATATACCCTCATATCCTAATCTCTGATAGAGTGTTTATTCTCCAGTTTTCTTTTTCTGTGATATCCATTTGGGTTTAGTGATAAACACTGGCAGTGAAGGCCCACTGGCTTTCCACGGGCATGACATCCAAGGCTCCTGCCTAAGGAGAGGACTGAAAACATGTTTCGTTTATCTCAGCCTTCCCGCTCCTGTTTTTGAGATCAATACCTTATCCTTCTGTTTGAGTGCAGGGCCTCATTACAAGTTTTTGACACGACTCTGCAGTCCTTTGAGTGAAAACCACAATAATGCCAAGCCTCCATTTTCTATTCCCATCAACCCAACAGCCAGACTGGGGGGCTCGAAAAGTGTTCATTTAGCGCGCCAAGTTCTCGGGTCTGCACAAGGCCAGCCAGGCTCTCTTGGTCAGACGCACGTCCTCCTGCTCACTCCTCACCTTCCTCTAAGCCTACCAAGTGGCGGGGAGATCCTTGGCTCTCATCTTCTGCTGCCTTTACAGGCTCGTAGGGCAGCCTGATCACGTGCCTCTGCTGTGTTTGTCTGGCCTTGGAGAATCTAGTCTACGCGTGGAGCAGGAGCTCGCTTTCCTATTTACATTCCGCCTGCCCTGGGCCTAAACGAGAGGCCAAGCAGAGCTCTCTCGCTCGCTCCTGTAGCATTTGCGCTGCGGTTCCCCACCGGCTCCCTCCCTCCCGCCTCCGTGCGAGACGTGGGAAGAAGGAGCGAGTGGAGAAGATAAAAGAGAGCTGCGTGCGGAACAAATGTGCTCGAGGGTGGCTTTCGGTGGCGGAGCAGAACCTTGTAAATGAGAGATTTCCGTTCACAAGACTCCGCTTCCACGATTCCTGTCCTGCCCTTGAACTGCCAGGCGAAATCTCTGCGTCGTAACCAGAAAGTAAATCAAATCGAGCCTGCCTGCCTGGCTCCGGGAAAGAGCGGGCGAGCAACGCTTGGCTCGGTTGCTAAGTGCTGAGAAGTGGAAGGTTTCTGCTTCAGCCCCAGCCAAGCCGGTGGTCTGTTTGCCAGGCACTGTTTACTCGGCGCGCCTGCACAAACGCGCTAGCTGTTTACTAGGCAGAGCTGGCCCGGGGGCTCTTATTTTCACCAGTCTGCCCAGAAGCTTGGGAGCTGGGGGCTCCCCTGCACTTGGCAACCATGCCGACTCGGCGAGGGCGCAGAGGGGATCACGCCCTTTTCGCCCCGGATTAATTAATTCAGAATACTTGCTTCTTCCACCACTCCTCCCCTCCCTTCCTCAAATTGCACAGGCCGTTTGGAGTCACACACCGCTGCTAAACATATGTCGAAGGGAAAAAATGAGCAGGGAAGCCTCCGTTTGACGTCCTAATCGTGGGGATAACTAGTCCACTAGAACGGCTCTTCTTGTTTACCACGAAGTAAGGTGTTGGGGTTCCGTCCTTCTTGAGAGCCGCACCCTCTGATCTAGAAGCCTTTGTGTCCAGTCCCGGGTGTGCTTTGCATAGGGAGTAGGGAGAAGATTTGTGGTTAAAGGAGGACGGAATAAAAGCAGCTTTCTCCATTAGCCTGGAGCGAGGCTATGGTTTTATTTAAAAGAGCCCAAGGGAGCACCAAAGAGCCCACCCCCACCCTTCCGTGGCGAACGCACCATCGCCACCGGTCAAACAGGCTTTGCAGGTTTTTTGACAAAGCACAGCTAAAACCTGAAAAACCTGTCTGCACTGACACAACGCTCAGATGGGGTGGGAGAGAAACGAGTGCGCACCCGCGAAGAAAGAAGATTCTATCGCCCTGCTTCCAGACCTTGGAAGACTAAAAGGAAGAAAACATCTGTCTCCAGCTCATACGCACCAGATCTGAGCCCAAATATTGAAAACACGTGCTGGCGTTTTTAAGCACTGCTTCAAATTCAGTCCTGAAGGGATCTCGGGTACGTGCTCTCTACCCCCCCCGCCCCCATCAGTAAGATTAATTGGCCCTGGGAAGGCGCTTCCAAACTTCTACTTTATAGCTCCACTTGGTATTTATTTGACATTGCTCATCTGTTACTGCCTCCCAACGATCCACAAGCCATTTAAGTCCGAGAACTTCGACAGATCGCTGCTGGAGTGCAGGAAGAGCCTATGCCGCATTTATTTGGAAGTGTCATCCATTTCAATAAAAAAAAAAGTATTTTCCCCTAATCCTTACATTCCACTGAAATGAATAAGAGTTACTTCCACACAAAAGGGTTTGCCACCCGAGGCTTCTGGCGTCTTAGGTTTCAGGACTTTCATCTAGCAGAGTGGTGGATCGGGCTTCCCAGTGAATGTGTTTCGGCTGCAAGGGTGCCAGCAAGAACTTGCGATTTAATTAGCACGTGGTGGAAGTCCTTTAACCCTCCTGGGTTAGGAAGTCAAACCAAACGCCGCTGGAGAAAGAAATCAACACCTTCGGCCAAACCACGGGCCCGCGTAGGTAGGTGCTGTGGCCTTGGGGACCCCTGCACCCGCTTTCTAAATAGTCAAAATTGGCTCTCCCGCTCCTCCTCCTCCTCCCCATCGGCCCCACTGTAATCCGATTAGCCCCAGTGCATTTAAAGAGGAAAGTGCCTGGTGCCTGCTTGCCTTTAGAAAAGCAGACAAAGGTCTAGAAGGCAAGGCCTCGGGACCGACCGCAGGAGGCTGATGTCTGTTAATATTCAATCCCGAGCGAGATAACAGGTAGAAGAAAGACGCTTCTCCGCATTCTCACCATCAAATCACCATGCAAAGCTGAATTCGCTCCTCAAATTTGACCACGATCAAGCAAACATAAAGAGAAAACAAAAAACAAATGAGAATATGAAGGACAAACGTTATTTCTCTCGAGACAAGACGGAATTCCCGCGTCATCCCAATAGTTTAATGCACAGAACCCCCTTTGCAAACTGCTAGGAATCAGATAACTACTTCAAAATAACAATAGGAAATACGATATTTCCTGGTCCGCCTTTCTTCTTGCCAAACAACGTACTTGAGGACCGCAGCCCCTGAGGCTTCTCGAGATAATTTCTGTTTGGAAATCAGGCTAAAATTACATTTGCATTCTGAGCGGGTGGCGGGATTCGACTAACACGGTTCTCATTACGTGTGTCTGGAGGTGAAAGAGCAACTGCGCTTGCGACCCGGGTGCCTTGGCAGCAAAAATCAATCGTCTCGAAATGAAGAAGCATAGAGCTCCTGAAAGCCTCCTGCCCCATTTCTTCAGCACAAATGGAAGACTTGCTCCACTCACTGCTAAATGTTAACATGCTGGCGGACGTCACTCATGCGCCTCTCGAGCGCATCTGATCAGAGGTCAGAATTTTCCTGACCTTGTCAGTCGCAAACAACCAAATCTGGCCCCTTCCACTTTTGTACGCACATTCACAACGATGGATACTCCATTTAACTGGCAATCAGACCAAGCAGCAAAAACAATTAAGAAATCAGTTTGCCTTTAGAGACGATGGGCACTTGCCTGGAACAAAACTGCACCACCGGCTTGGATCCAAAACACACTCCCTAGAAGTACGTAAATCTCACTGAAATCAGTGTATGCAAACCGCGCGCCCCACCCCCCAGTTACTATAGACATTCTTGCTACGATTTATCGATTTCTAATTAACTGGGATGTGGTTCTGGGTGGCAGTCTTTTCCTAATTTTGCATTTTCTATCCCAAAAGGAAAATATTTGCTCTTCTTTAAAACAGACCGCTACGAAGCGCTGGCAGACAAGGCAAAGCTCTGGCAACGTTTAATTTACACACACACTCCCTCTGTAAACCAGCAGATTTACAATCTCATGTATTATGTTTATGCGACAATTTGGAGGGAGTGGGGTGGGGAGCGAGTCGGATCTCACCGCTGACTTGTCCGCATATTTGGGGCTGGTAAAGAGAGCACGCGAGGCCTTTTCGCCTCTCTAAGCAGCATCCCAGTACCACGACCTGCAATTATCAGGCCCTTAAAATAGGCGACCGCCACGCTGAATTTCATTTGCAGTCTTCACAAAAACAAAACAAAAATTTTTCTTAGCACTTTAGGGCAAATCTGACTGCGTTGCGTGTACACGGGGGGCGGGGGATTTCTGGGGTTTGAGCAGCAGGGCGAGGGGGGAGGTAGTTTGGAACCGATTCAAAGGGCTGCTCGTTCGTTCTCCCTTTTGTGACCGAATTTCCAGGCAGTTAAACTTCTCCGACGGCTGTGACATCTGAGTTGGCGCATCAACTCTTTTCTTTTCCCTTCCAGCAGCCCAACCCCCTTCCATCCATCAGCAAAGGTGATGGGTGGGGAGGAAGTGAACAACAACATCAAACAACCGAAAGGGGGAAGAGGGGGAGAGAGGAGCACGATGGAGAGAGGGGTGGGGGGTGGGAGGCACAGACGCATAAAAGCTGGCAGGCAGGGAGAACCAGAGCCACTTGGGCCCACGGCAGCCTCTAGTCCACAACTCCGCTAAGCAGGGAAGAACCCCTGGATTGAAGCCCACACCAAGATCCGCAGGGGCGGGGGGAGGCTTCGATGAGAAGCTAAAATACTGCCATGACCGGAAGAGTGTGTGGTGGCTTTTGCCTCCCCCGTCCCCAGTTAATGGGAAGCGGTAGGGGTGGACCTGATGGAGAGGGCACTTTATCGACGGCCTGTTCCCAGATCCAATCTGACGCATTATTCCATGCGCTCGCAGCAGCTTGAAGCCCAAATCCGCAAGGCTTTGATTCCTGCTCGGGTCTCTCTCTCTCTGTTTGTGTGTGTCTCTGAAACTCAGCCAAAACTCTCTGGCGAGGTTTCCTTCCTGCTCCCGGGGAGTCTCGAGCAGCCCCTACCCCACCCGCTCCGAGCTCTTTGGCCTCCCCGCCCTGGTGGCTGGGGGGGGGGTGCGGAGGGGGAGAGGAAACGGAGGAGGGTGGAGAGCGGAGACGGAGGGAGGGAGGGAGGCCGCGGCGGAACTTTTCCTTTCTCGCTTCTCGGGCTTTGTCCACCGGCTCCCCCTGCTCCCCTCCCCCACGCGGCAAGCTGCTTGACATTAAAAGCGGGCTGGGGGAGGGGGAAGAGAAGGAAAGTTAACAAGCCAAATGGAGCGGGGAACAAGGACACTGAGCCAGGGAGAAAAGGCAGAAGAGAGACCCACTAGTGTCCGGCTGCAAAAATAAAAAAAAATGAGGGAAAGCCTTTTAAAACGGCCCGGCGAGGCGGCTGGGAAGGAAGTGGCAGCCGAGAGGGAAGGAGGCTGCTGGAGGGGGAGGGAAGACGAGGCAGCGCCATCTTTTCGTGTCACGCAGCAGGACCAGAGACTGACTGCCTCACGCGGCGGCGGTGTCTGCCTCGCTCGCTCTGCAAAGCGCGCCCTTAGGCAGGCCGAGAGGTGGAAGCTCCGGGCCGCGCAAGGCATAGAGCAGGCGGCAGCCGCCACCGCCGCTCCGCCAGCCTCCCGCGCCAGCCTCCCGCTCCCAGCCGTGGCTGGTGCGGAGCTGCGCAGCGAGCCCGCTTCTTCAGAGCAGCTCTCTTCGCCCTCGTCGGGTGGGCGAGCGAGCGCTGCGGCGAGAAGAGCGGGAGGCCCGCGCCGGGCCTAGAGGCAGCGCTGTCTCCAGACGCCGTGGCTGGGTTTCCCCTCTCCCACCCCCGCGCTGCCGAGACTGCCGGCTGGCCCCCTTTCGGTTCTCACCGTGGGCGGCGGAGGCCCCTGGCCTCAGGAGAGGAGCGAGGCGACGCGCCAGGGAGGGCAGCCAAGCGGCAACTTCCCGCTTTGGAGAGGCCTGTCTTCGGCCCCCCCCCCCCCCCGCTTAGCCTGGCCGTCAGCAAGGGGTCTCCTCGCTCCCCGCGGCGAAGGCCTCGGAAGCCCTGCCAGGCCCGCGCCCGCCCGGGTGGCGTTTCCCAAGCGCTCCTCCCTAGCCCTCCCCCGCCAGCCAGCCCTGGGGCGGCTGAGGTGGCTGCCGCCGGGCTTTGTTCCTCGCGCCTCTTCCCGCCCTCAGGGCAGGCTTCGCTGTACCGCGAGCTCTGGGGCCTGCGCCAAGGAGGACTCGGCGAGAGACGCCGCGTTCCCCGCAGGAAAACACCAGTTCGCTTGTCCCGCCGCCCCGGGACGTGGCCAAACCGCTTGGCGGAGGGTATCGCCACCGTAGCTGGCCTCCCAGCGCTTTCGCTTCGCTCTCTTCCCCGCCACCCGCCAGCCAGCCGCTTCAGCTCAGCGCCGTTTAAACCGGGAAAAGGGTCTCTTTCATTGTGCTCGGCAGAATCACCTGCCTGCTTTGCGAGCAGAGCTTGCCGAATGGCGTTTCGCACAACAGCGGCCGTGTAGCCGCGGCTCGGGCTCTGCCCTCGCTTTGGCACCGACAAGCTCCCCAGGGCCTCCAGCGCGCTGCAGAGCGCGAGGGATAGGCAGGGTGCCCGTTGGCATCCAGAGCAAGCGTAGCTCTCCCGGCGGCGCCCGGGAAAACCTCGCAGCCTCGCTCGCTCAATCTGGCCCCGCTGGCGAACGAGCACAAGCAAATACGTCGCTGCTGCCTCTCAGACCTGCTGATGCGGGGGGAGGGGAGGGAGGGAGCGGGAGCAGCGCCTGGCGAAGGGGGATTTGATGGGTGGTTGGCTGCGCTTCGGGAGGGGAGGGAGGTTGGCTGCGCCTGGTAATGAGGGATTTGAGGGAGAGGGAAGGGCGTGTTAGCTTCGCCTGAGAAGGGGAGGGCCCCCTGCTATTAGGGGTGGGAAAGCGGGGGCGGTTGCGCCCGAGGTTTGGTTTTTTTTGGTGTTTTTTTTAATTGGAGGGGGTAAGGCGTGCCTTCTGTTTCTAATAAAGGAAGCGACTTTTCTCGAAGGAAGAACGAAGGTGCTCCGGAGGGGGGGGCTGGTTAGGATGATGGAGGTGTTGGATGCCTTGCTAGGGAGCGGTGTGTGTTTGTATGGTCTTAGAAATGAATAGATTGGTTATACCTATGGGGAGAGAATGGGGGAAGGGAAGAGGATTTGAGTGTGGGGTTTTTTTTTGCGGGGGGGGGGAGCGACGGATTTCAAACCTTTGCCCCAGGGAAGCGGGGGATTTGCTACTGGTAGTTTGGCTGCCCCTGGTGAGAAAGAGATTAATAGTTTGCAGCTTCGGGCTGGCTGCCTCCCCCGAGGGGAGATTTCAAGGGAGACGTTGGCTGCCCCCCCTCCCCCGCGATCGAGGGTGTGCTGTGGGTTACTAACTCCCTGCACCAGGGAGGAGAGGCTGGCAGGGGCTCCGTGTGCCTTGCTGGCCGGCCCCGGTGTGGAAGCAGGGGCAGCCACCGGCGTCGGGAGGGCTTGGCGGTGGCTTTGCCAGAGGGGAATCGATGGGGCGAGGAGGGCGCGTAGAGAGGTGTCGGGCTGCGCCTCGCCAGTTGGGGTTTGAGAGGGGCGGTAGGAGACGCGCCTCCTGTTTCTAATAAAGGAATCGGCTTTTATTGAAGGATAAACGCAGGCAACTAAAGTCGTGTGGGCTGCAGCCGCCGAACTTCGTTAGTTGCTAATCTGGCTGCCAAGATGAAAACCTTTCGCGAACGTTTGAAAGACGGCAGGAGCTTTGACACACGCGGCGGCGGCGGCGGCAGAAACGCACACTGCCCCCCCCAGCTCCCCAGCCCCTACCGTGCCCTTCCTAGGAGGAGGGGGTGCTGGTGGTGATGGGGAAAGAGGAGGCGTAGCCCCTCCTAACGGTTCCGGCTTTGGGGGATTGCCAAATTTTCTTTGATTTAGGGGAACTCTGGGGATGACTAATCGCACGCCAAGCTGGGGTTTACAAGGGTTTTCTTTTCTCGTCACCCGCAGTTGCTGACCCCGCTCGCTCCAAGAAAGGAGCTGCGACAGGCGGCTTCTGAGAAGGCCGAACAGCCAGGAGCCCGAGTCTGGGCCGCGGGGAAATCCCCTCGCCAACCCCGGAGAGAAAGGTGCAGCTCAAGGCCAAAGCCTGGAGATCGGGGGAGGGGGGTGAGCGGCTCTCTTCCGGCGCGGAGCTGCTCAGGCGAAAGCTGCCAGCCTGTTCGGACGCCCTTTACCCGGGCGCAAAGTCTTGCTCATTGCTCTGCAGTACCCTCTCTCCTGCACACTTTCACTTCGGAAGTTTTTAAGGGCTGCAGCCTAAAGAGGGAGGCTCTGGAATTGCTGCCTCCTCGCAAACTCCTGCTCATTTTAATAGGGTTTACTTTCACCGCCTGCCACCGGCTTGGCTGTGCCGCAGCAAAAGCCCTCAGGCAGCAGGGCTAACACATGCGGTGCCATCCTACGCCTGTTTACAGGGAAGTCGATTCCCGCTGTACTCCGGGGGGCGGGGGAAGGCTTATTCAGCAGCGTGCTTAGGGTTGCAATCCTCGATGCGGGAACACGGTCAAAGAAGAAGATAGCTGAATCGATGTGCGTCCCTACTACGTTGCAATCCCTAATCACACTTACTTGGAAGGAAGCCTCGCTGGTCTACCTACCGATCAGAGGTGTCTGAAACACCAGTGTTATACACTAAGACTTAGATCTCATGTACACTGATGCGGACTTCATCCTCATTTAGTTTCTCAACACAGAGTAGGCATGGCTGGATGTCTCATGAAAACGTAATTGACATTTCCTTCCGAGTTATCATGTTCAGGGCCAGCACTACCATTAGGAAGAATGGGGCAGCGGCCTCAGGCAGCAGATGCTAGAGGGTGGGCAGGGAGTGGGTGGTAGGTGTTGGGGAATAGATGCAGGTGTTGGTGTCGGGGGACAGATGTGTGTGTGTGTCATGGAAGGTTTTCCTTCAGGTGTGGTGGATGCTATCTGTTCCCAGTGTTGAAGCAAGATCTGATTTCCAGTTTGGCTTTCTTCTTTCTCTATGTGGAATGGGGAGGGATGCCATCTTGACCTTTCCTCAGGCAGCAGAATGCCTTTCTGAGCATGTTTATGAACACATATTTATCTAGAATTATTTTGCCTCCTGTTTAGTCTCATTGACATCAGTGGAACCTGTTTTGAAGCACAGTAATGATTTTAGGTTCTGAATGCCAGAGTTTGACACTTCAGGGCCCCTTCACTCCACATTGGAGCTAAGGACAAATATTCAATTGACTTTAATGTCTTCAGAGACTACCTGGCCTGCTTTATTAATTGTTTTAACTGTAATCCTCCAGATTCTGATCTGGAGTAAGCACTTTGTACCTGATTCCTGCTACCTCAACATTAAGGAATACTGTGGAAATCAGCTGAATTATATGGAATTTATAAAATCTGCTATTATTCTTGCACATGGGGCAGTGCTTTCAAAATAATAGTTTTATCACAGCCCTATCCTTGAGAGGAAGCTTAGCTGCAGTAAAAATGAGTTGCTAAAAACAACTGGAGTGGTGGTTGTGTGAGGTCTGAAGGCTCATTCCATTCACTTAAGGTGTACCTCACTGCCTCCTTTGAAAAGCATTGTCTTTGAGGGGGTGTCAGGAAACCATTTGGAACATAGGAAGTTGCCTTATGCAGAGTCAGACCATTGGTCCATCTAGCTCAGTACTGCCTACACTGATTGGCAATTTCATAGCAGGGTCTCCTCCAGCCTTACCTGGAGATCAAGGGATGGATGGAACCAGGGATCTTCTGCATGCAAAACAGATGCTCTACAACTAAGCTATGGCTCTTCCTGTATGCTTGATCTGTGTTGTTGGTTTTACGTTGGAAAGTATTGGAATTATGACTTCACAGTCAACAGTGATACCCTCACGTGTGACAGTGAGATCAATTGTGAATATTGGCTTCCATCCACCTCATTTCACTAGCAAGTTTGCTTGGGCTACACTTTTTAATGTGTGGAGCACTGTGGCCTTTACATCCACTTTTTAAAGCAAGTGACACATACCTGTGCTTTTATCCTGGTTGCCCATTTGAGTACAATCACCGGAGTTTGAAACAAATGGGCTTTACTTCAAAGTATTGCATCTAGGTTCAGCTTGGTAAGAGGTCTGCGGACAACCTCCAAGCTTGGCTTTTCATGGTCCTGCTTCCTTAGTCCTTTATCCTTCTGAGGAGGGTTTTAGGTAACCACAATTGCAGAGGAATTCTGATTTGCGCGTCTGGTTCTTTGTTGGTACTGGGAAGGAAGCTGCCTCTGCCTTACCTCACAACTCTAGTTCAGATGAGGAGAGCAGAGGGAAAGCTGGACCAGCCAGCCCAATATGTTTTGCTACAGAAAATGTGCCCCCAACCTCCTCCTCTGCCACCCGTGCTGCCTCTACCTGAGGTGACTGGAGGCAGCCTGGAGAAGCCCAGTGTGCTGAAGAAGGTGGGGGAGGGGGAAAAAGAGGCCAGAGAAGGGGTGGGGAGAAGGTAGGTGACAATGTACAGGAAGCAGGAAGCAGTACGTTCCTTGGGGGGCCTGAATCTGCCGCCCCCTCCCAGCTGTTCCCATCCTGCTGTCTGCAGTGACTGCCTTGCCAAGCCTCCTGAGTTGGGCTGGCCCTGAGGGAAGAAGCTACTGGGCCTCAGCATAACTAAGGTCCCAGGTGCCTGAGGAAAGGTGTTTCCTTTATAATGGCTTCTGAGACCTCAGTTCTGCTGTAAGCAGTCCCCACATACTGACACTCCCACAGGACCCTTGCGGACAAAGAATTACCTACACAGTTTCTACAAAGTGATCAAGCCACCAGCCCCTTCCCTTACTTTCTGCACAGCTGTTCTGGAAATTGGCTATTGTGTCTCTGTGTTTCAGAGATCCAGAGGCTAGATTAACAAATCCTTGTAATTTCATTACTCCCTAATGTGGCCAGTTATGGCCTGGAATAGAGGAAATGGGTACGTTTTAGCTTGGCCAGGATTAATCAGGCAGAAGGAGTTTGAAATTTTAGATCGTGTTTCTTGTGGTTTTAAGGAGTGTGCTTGTAAGCAGATGTTTTTCCATGGATAGCCAGTGTGCTTGATTCATAGCCAAACTCACAACCTAGTTAAGAAGGGTGCAGCTGAGGTTGTGTCCATGTGGCTCTGTTGAATTTCCATGGGATTCTTTGTTAACCTGTCTGTGTATTGGGCTGCTTTTAGACTGGGGAAGGAAGCAAAAAAAATTTCTCCTCGTAACAAAACATATTTTGGTTTTAATCCCATGTTGATTTTTCTTTAAGTCCTTCCCTTTGCAGGGAGTTGGACTAGATGACTCTCCGGGTCCCTTCTATCACTGTAGGCCAGATTGTAGCCACTGACTACCTAAACTGTTTCATCTGCATCCCTAGATCTGTAAGGTTCTGAAAAGAATGTCCATGTTTTGTATCTAGAAATAATGGCATTCACACATGACACATTCCGTACTTTAGAAAGTTCCCAAGGACATTTTGCTAATACGCTATTACACTGGTGTTGCCTCTCTAACTTAAAACACACACACAAAGAAGCCAGGAAGTGTCTTTGTTAAAAGCTTCAAAATAATCAGTGGTTTTATTTTAACTAGCACACTGTTTAAAACACATTTTTGTTTTTTTGTTTTTTTAAAGAAATGAAGGCTTTATCCACTTCACACAATTTCTCCGGCCCTGCTCTAACAATCCGCATTGTCATTTCCTTCGTGCTCAGGCAGGCCAGAAAATTTGCTGTTGCTGCGTGAGCTCCTCAGCATGAACGGAAAATCCAGCTTGGCCACAAGGACTGTTCAGCGCTACGCTCTCTCTCTTTCTCTCTGGTGTTCCGGCCTGCTTGCTGCTGCGGCTGTAGCTGCTGCCGCCGCCACCGCCTTTAGTTCTCAATAAAAAGGAGCCCAGATACAACCACCATGGTGGCTCCAGAGAACCAGCTGCACACAAGGGCAGCCCAGGAAAAGAAATGGCTTCCTCCTCCCCTCCTTTTCAAGCAGAAGGTGGCAGAGAATGATTCATCGCCTGCATCCAATAATTAAAACAAAAGCCAGTGTCGGCGGAAAGAAACCCTCTCTGGAAACTAACAGCATTTCCCTTTCCCGGGAGTTGAGAATGCAATTTGGTAGAGGGATCACGATGGCTGGTTTCCGGGCCTAATTTTCACAGTGAGGTGATAAACCTGTGCCTGGCTGTGTCACCTCAGAAAGCAGATAGCGGTTGAATGCTCCTTCACAGAACACACACAAATCCTGCACCCAGAAGACTAGCATGCCATAGAGAAGGATTCTAGCCTATATTTCTACCTAGCGTGCTAGTTTTCTAGGTGCACAGAATATGCTTCCATGACGGAGCATTTTGTGTTTTCCAGAGTGAAGTGGCACAACCCAGAAAGACATTTTACCATCACAGTGAGAACTAGGCTCTAGTCCTGAGGGGGCGAGGGCTGTCTCTCTCTCCACCCCCCCCCCAGCCGACTGCACATTTCTGAGTTTGGCTGTAGCCTCTTCCCAATTTCTAAGGGTATTTCCTGCACCTCCCCACCTCAGAAGGAGGATGGGGAATCCCCAACATAGAAGCATATTACAATGCCAACCAAATACGCCACATAATCCCATATATACTAGAAGATGAGACAAAACAATGGGTACACCTAGAGAGGGACACAATTGAAAACACCTGCACCACAACATACCCACTCCTCCCAAACAAACTAAAGAAAATTCCCACAACACTTAACAGGTACACACAGACCATGCTCAAAGCATGGAAAACACAAATAGGCAAACTATCCCCAACCCCATCCCCACTAATCCCCCTGGCGTACCACCCATTATTCCACCATGCAGCATAAAACCTCAAGATAAAAACCTGGCGAACCAAAGGCTTATATCGCCTAATAGACTTTTATAAAAATAACAAACCCTTGTCAACACAAGAAAAACAAGACAAACTAGAAGACACCCAAATGCCCTGGTTAACACAACACCAACTACATGCCCTCTTAAACAACCCAACAGTAAAATCAGCAGCAACTAGGCCCCTGACAACCTTCGAAAACCTCCTCCTAACAACAAAGGGAAACGGTAAAGGGACGGTATCCGCAATATACAAAATACTACTCCAAAATCCTGCAAATCCCCTAGACGCAATCAAAAAACAATGGGAGAATGACATAGGCTATGAGATTAACCCCACTCAATGGACCAGAATGTGGTCTAAACCCCC